TTCCCATCGGGATTCGGATAGTCAAATGATAATCAATATGATATCCCGTCTCTCTAATTCAGTTAGATTTGGATTGAGATGAGAAGTCCCGACTAGGCAGCCAGTGTGAATACTACCAAGCGGTAGTCACATCACGAATTCGCATGGTATCCAAGCAAAACCCTTGATAGTTGATTGAAATGGAATAAAACTCTGGTGAGCAGTCGGATCTCGTATCTCATTTGGTAGAGCACCGGGCCGGCAACCCGTTAGTCACTGGTTCGAATGCAGCCGCGGTCCAGATTTTCATCTCACTTTCAATCATCATCCGGTATATATGGAGTGTATATAACTCTGAAGGGAGTGTAAAATTGATGAAAATAGTAGATCAATAAAATGCTATGTAATAGTTGACAAGTTGTTGAAATATAATCACAATATTTTTCTTGACGTGATTAAGACGATTCAGCGAAATAACACCGGGAACTATTCAAGCAAGAGTAAAGTCGTATTCACACTAGCTTCAATCATCACTCAGTATCAAGGTCTGCCAAACCACGGCTATCCCAGATACTTACTAAAAATAATTATCAATAATAATGGTGATAACGATAAAGGTACTTATATTGTTGATAACAATTGAAGTATGAATGATAATAAAGCGGATTACGTGATACATAGAATGCTTCATAACTCAGAAAGGAGCACAAAATTAATGAAAATAGTCAAACAATAAAGTATTATGTAGTAGGATTAGACAAGTTAGTAAAATAAAACCAACGATTTTTGAAAGGATTATAGGAAATACCACAGGAAACTATTCAAGCAAGAGTGAATTCGGAATAAATCATGTGGAATGAAATTGTGTTCTACCTTCTCTTCATATATTATTTACAACTGCCTAGGCGAGTCATTGATGTTTGCCATATTTGTGAGATGTCTAATCTATCTTTTCTGTTGACCACAGAAGGGTACGAACAGATATGCAAAGTTTCTACAATGGCCTCCTCTTTGTGAAGAAGAAAATCGTTATCATGACTTTTGCCTTTTGAATGATATTTTATGACCTGAATATAAGGCATGGGTCATGATGGCAGAGTTTTTTTGTCCAAATCATAGGAACTTTTGGATGGTTTTTTACAACTTCAACCGTGTTCGGCTAGACGCGTCAGTACTTGACACGATGTCTCTCTAATGTAGGTGACGTCGCATCCACTACAGTCTACCTTATAAATACAGTTCTATTGTTCCAAATGTGGAATAGAGTCTTTTGATTTGCGTAAGTGTGAGTATAGAGTGTTCGTCGCCCTATAGAATACTTTAACGTCGTAGCTATTAGAACTATGTGTTATTTCTTCTGATATGCATGTTCGATAAGGAAGTAATATAGTACTTATCCTATCTTTATGGCTTAGCTTTTCGGTATCTTTTTTCGATAAACCATTTTCTATCCTTTTTAATAACTTTTCTGGATAGTTGTTTTAAGACTTCCCAAACAACTTTTTTTCAAACCACCCAGTCCATTTTTGGTCAGAATACTTTAAAAGAATACTGTTGCAACTGATACTTGTATCCCTCAAAAAATGATGTCTGTCTGTGGGAATTGGATCATTTTTCTGCGGATTTTGTCATCGAAGAAAATAAACTTATCGTAACGATCTAGCTTTAAGGATTTTAGATAGCTTCTGAGATTAAATGTGGATTACTAGATGAAGAAAGCAAATCACTTCGTGAGACTGTACAACTGAATTGATTCAGATTATTGGAATATATTTCAATATACAATATTAGCTAAATTGTGATTAAGTTGGACAAAATATGTCACCAATACATGAAGTTCCTAGCTGTTAGAAGTAGTATTCATCATGAACTTACACCAGTTGGGGAGCCATTAAAAAATCTGGGAGCACTGGACAGCTGTTTCGTTTTAGTATGGGACTCCTCAGCAGTAGGCACCCACAACCCGGCTAGGGGTCGAACTCAGGACCTTCAGGTTTCACGGCGAACGCATTGACCACTCAGCCACTGGGTCGGTTTCCAGTGGTTCACAATTTCCAACTTCTGTCAATTCATGACATAGCGCGACTGTCACCCAACGTCTACACTTAGCATCCGCTTCACTCACGACCGATCGACCCACAGGTCACAGCTTCTCATTAGAACTGACATCCATCTGGAAGTGAAGTGGATGCTAACTGAAGACCGTGGGTGACAGTCGCGCTATGTCATGAACTGACAGAAGTTGGAAATTGTGAACCACTGGAAACGGACCCAGTGACTGAGTGGTTAATGAGTTCGCCGTGAAAGCTGAAGGTCTTGAGTTCGACCCCAGCCGGGTTGTGGGTGCCGACTGCTGAGGAGTCCCATACTAAAACGAAACAACTGTCCAGTGCTCCCAGATTTTCAATGGTCCCCCAACTGATGTCAGTCCGTGATGAATATATATATATATATATATTATATATATATATATATATATATATATATATATATATATATATATATATATATATACTATTTATTTAGCCAAATGTATGGTATTTGTATGACGGAATCTTCTAGACGGAAGTAGGTGATTTATCACTTCAGCTTTTATAATACATTCCACTCTATTCTTATTCCATTGTTTATGATACGATGATATATTTTCTGTGTAATATTATAAATTTCAATTCGAACATGGTTGTGAAATATTGATTTCTTTACTCAAATTCTGTCTATTGGGTCATGGATTCCATTCACATTCCACATACTTGTACATAGATAAGTTGGTGTAATCACTATCTATTTCATATTATGTGTAATTTATAGTGGGAACTTTTATCTAGATGCTGAGTTAAATATGAATGATCTTGACAAACATTTACGCATACTGTTGTATTCATCTTGCTGACTCTTAATGGAATCCTCTGTAAATCACGAAGATGAGTACACTTTAATGAAAATTTCAACAGTGTCGCAACATCTGAACACGATGTGACTTGAATACAACTTTTTTTTTTAAACATCATTTATAGTCTCTTTATCGGTAAAGCGTTAATTCAAGCTGATACTACAATACAAGCTTCACTGAATGAGTCATCATCATCATTATCAACATAGGACCAGGCATTACTGTGTAACGGTCCGAGTTGCCACACCTCATATCAGCACATCAAGTAAAAAGGTAGTGAGGTGCAGGATGAAGATGAGTGAATGCAGTCAAAAGAAATATAAAGTACGAGAAGAAAGGAAAAAGGAGTGACAAAATAGTGAGATTCGGTATAGCGTTGTTAAGATGAGGATAATGTGTGTATACATCTGCGCCACTGACATCGGTTCTGAGCCATATCACAAAGGGTCTCCAACCACTAGTTCCTCTTGTCCCATGGCTTAAACCAACAGTCAGAGACTTCATACATTGATGCCATGTTTTAGTCTGGCCACCTAGAGCCTTTTTCCAGCCTGGACCCACCTCAGCCAGCATTGTGTGACGAGGCAATCGGTGACTAGGCATACGTAGTACGTGTCCCAACCAGCCATCTCAATCGATGAAGGTTCACAACCTCGTCAACTGACTTACCTCTTCTCCCTAAAACTCTACACCTAACTTCTGCATTACTCACATGGTGACACCACGGAATACGTCCTATATTACGAAGGCAATGGTGATCAAACACCTGAAGCCTTTTTGTATCCTCCACTTTCAATGGCCATGTTTCACAGCCATATAGTAGAACAGAGCGGACTGCTGTGCAGTACACGCCACCCTTAATAGAGAAACGAATGAGTAAACATGTACAAGATTGTAAAGATACTTAGATCGTGGAAAGTGAAACGTTTGCATCATGAATGACTTTTATTTATTTTTTTTTCATTTACAAATCCTATACATTTCAATGTCTTATTTTGGCTGTATGCATGACGTGTAGTCTCAGTGAGAATTATTTCTGTTTATACTGCATACATTGTTATTTTCATCCTTTATAATCAATGCTCATGTGTAATAGTGATTCAATGACAAAATTTTGACGATTATTATTATTTCTTATTTATTTAATCATAATGAACTTACTATGTGAAAAATCTTCTGTTTAAACTATGAAATCATACAGAAGATAATTGGGAAGATTTTAAAATCCAGCTAATACTATTACTTCTCATAGAGTTGATATTTGTATTGCCAGGTAGAGGATTTGATCTTCTGATGTTAATCATTCCTAACTAAAAGAATATGTATGTTATATTTTGTAATCTCCTCAATTTTGTTAGTAATATCTGTTTATTAATGTGAATAGAATCTGTTTTCTCATATCAGTTCGCAGTATTCATCATGAAGAGTTTTGAGTACTTTTAATAGATATACAATTTGATAATATCTTAGTCTTACTAGTTAATGAATTTCAAGTATATAAGAAACAAGTATACTACTTGATTGACTATACTGTTATTAACAATCGTTTCACCTTCTTCTATTGCGAAGTGACTTCTACAGTTTACTCTTGACCGTCAAATCTACATGGGCAGTTACATTTTCATCTGTCTTTTGGTGTTAACATGAGATAAAACCTTTGTTTTACTTTACTGTCAAACTATTTATTCGTTTGTATGATTTTAAAGGATATTTCTTTGTGAATTTCAAAAGTCATTATGCTAAGATATCCTCTTATTCTACAAAGAAATAAAACTTTCGTAGCTCTTATGTCACTCATTTTGGGTTTTTATTAGTGTCTTTCATTGCTTATGTATTATGAAAATCGAAGTCTACATCTTATATTTTATGATTTCAATTGTGACCATCTTGCGTGTATTCTCCGGTTTGAGTTCTTAGTATCTTCTTATTACTACCAATGCACGCTTTCTGAGTTTTTCCCAGTAATATGATAAAACCCATATATCTGCGCGTTCATTGTGATACTACTTAATTAGTAAGTGCGTAGTATATACATTTTCCCTGACTTTTATAACCTTTTTAGTTGCTTGGATAATTTTATTGTTTTCATGTATATATATCTTTTTATCTCTCACTTGTTGAATTCTAGACCCAAATTGGTTCACACATTAAAGAAGCATTTTTGGAATTTATGGTGCATTTGCTGAAAGACTATCGGTCATGTCTTGTATCAGTACGTAATGTTCAAGGGGATGTTTTATTCAAAGTCGATGGTAAGTGTCTATTATACAATACCACTAATTATAATGAAGGTAATCATCAGTTTTTTTAAATTTACCTTCTGCTTCGATTTCAAATGAAAGTTTTCCTTGATGAATTATAAAAGGATTGCATTTTTCAGTTTCTACAACATCATAGATATCCAGTAAGCTGATTCGTTTTTGATGCATTGACTGATAAAATCAATCGCAGAACCTCTCACATATGTCATCACCTCAAATTGCCACACTTCACAGTAGGTAACAAAAACAGGTAGATAGAATAAGAATGATATCAAAATAGACAAAGTTGTGTGAGAGAATAAACAATCTGAAGATAAATAGGCTAGTGTGAATATTCAAGGTTTAGATGTCAAGGAGTGAATACATCTCTTTCATTGTAATCGATTTTCAACCATGTCACCAAGAGTCCTCAACCACTGAAACCAGTCATCTCAGAGAACTCAACCAGGCAGTCTACACCTTCCTACATGCTCAGACCACCAGTTCACAACCTCATCGAGACATAGCACGGTTCGATTTAGCTACCCTGAACCCTCTTCCAATTTATTCAACCTTCTACCAGTATAGCATGACGAAGTAGGCAGCAGCTCGGTATGTGCAACACATGTCCAAACCATCCCGACCGACTAAGGCTCGCAACCTCGTCAATCAACTTGCTGATCTTGCCTCTCGGGATGTTGACAATGCAGTCTTTAAATCCCTATACAGGTCAAGCCAGCTGTAAGAGACTTTGTCGCTTGGTGCCATGTCTTGGTTTCACCGCCCTCCAATGTTATCAAACTTCTAATAGCATGGGTTCTCGAGGAAGGTGGTGGATCGCCATGCGCCGTACCTATCCAAGCAACCTCAGCCAACCAAGCCTCAGAACCTCATCAGCCGATTTACCTGTCTTCTCTCTTCACCTTACCTCAACAGTCTTCACATAGCACATTCATATCATTCTTATGCCCTCCCTTCTGGTTTATAGGCGCCTCCTCATGAACTTAGGAGTATATTCCTTTAAAGCTAACACCTTTTCACATTCGTTCTCTTTCAAATGTACATGTATATACGTAGGTCGACTATACCCTCTTTTAAGACCTTAATAAGGCAGAAAAAGTCTGCTAACTCATTTACATGAAAGTATCGTTCACCTTGTATGCCACCGCCCGCGTATACTTGCCTTTGATATACAACAACTACATTATTACTATTTCTCTCATGGATTCAAAGTGGAACATAGGGCTTCAGTAGCACGTCTCCGTTTCACTCTCTTCCCTCCAACCTTTTAAACCTGGCTACACATCTGCTCATAAGCTCTCATTCGTTCCTCATATCACCTCCTCCATGTTACCCTCGGAGGACCAACTCATCGTCATCACTTTGGATTCCACTTGAGAGCATGGTCTCGCCCATGGTACATCTAGACCGTCTCCCTAGTGCGTGTTTAATGACTTTGACATCCTCATATGTGCCTGTGCTGCCTGTGTTTGAGATAATTCTGCCCTGCTTAGGTAGGTAAAGAAACTACTTCCATTAGCTTTCTCCTAGTCATGGTGATTGATACTTGTTGTACATGCTGTTGTTGGTTCGGTATCTTCATCACCTCTGTCTTATCTACGTTCACCTGAAAGAAGTCCTGTCTGCGCATGCCTGCCCCTTCTGTCAACTTGTTGACTTTTACCTACACGTCTTCGACTTTGTGCGACACTTGACATAAATCAGCATCGGCGGCGAAATCAAAATCTCCTAGGGTCATCTCATCACTCAAACAATGTATACCCAACTTCTCCCTCCTCACAGTCTCTTGCATGATCCAGTCCAGTCGACCACAATCACGAAGATCATCGATGATAGTAGGCAACCTTGTCTTCTCTTACACCCGTCTCCACTTCAAAGGCATCACTGAGCTTTCCATTGTCAACCACTCGACATGTAGCACAATGTAGCACACAGCTGTTGAATGAAGTGGATAAAGATTTGTGGCACTAAAACCGTAGTGTTGAAGCAGCTGCCAAACCACTTCTCGGTCGACACTATCCAAGGCCTTATTAAAGTTGAGGAAGTTGAGGTAGAGAGTTGACTGCCATTCTATGCTCTGTTCTATGATGATGCACAGCATAGCGTTGCAATTCGATTCACACATGATTTGTTCTTCCTGAAACCAAACAGCCAGCCTGTTCCGGTCGTAATTTTCAACCAAGGGCGTATTTTAGTCTCTCCAGGATGACACAGTTTAATATTTTGCTCCCGGTGTAAAGCAGCATGATTCTGCGCCAGTTCTTGCAAAGACTTAGGTCTCCCTTCTTAGCGAGTTCGACAAGATAACCCTTCTCCTAATCGACAGTTACCTGTCCTTCCTCTAAAACTTTCTGAAGTAGTGGTGTGAGTATATCCGCTATTGTCTCTACGTTTGTTTTCAGTGCTTCTCGAGGAATTCCATCTGGTCCTGCTGCTTTCCCGGATTTCAACAACTTTATGGCGTGGCGTTCAGGACTTCTGCTTTTCTCGGAGGGCTTGTGTTCACTGGTGATTCTGCGATTGATGATGGTATTTCTGGACGAGTTGCAGGTGGTGGTGGTGGTGGTGGTGGTGGTAGATTCATGAGTCTTTTCAAGTGGACGGCCCATCTTTTCCTTTGTTTCTCCTCTTCCGTAACTAGCTTTCCTTCACCATCTTTCATTGGTTTCATCTGAGTTGATCTCTTCATTTGCCAATGTGTCGTAGAAGTGTCTTTTGTCTTTGCGCGCATTCTTATTCACCTCTTTGTCCAGTGTTTTAGAGGTTGTATTCAGTTCCTCTTTTTGTTGTTCATCTCTGCACTGCTCTGGTTCATCGTCTACTCCACCATCTTCTTCTCCCTACTCGATCAGCTTCCATGTGTCCGTCGACATCCACTCCCTGTCTTCTTTCTTCTTCCTTCTTAACACGGTTATGCAGGTTTCCTTCCACATGTCTCTCAAAGAGTCCAGTGTTCTTCCATGCAGGTTTCTACTGGGATGATGTTGCTCAGTATCTCCCATTTTTCGCTGATGGTTGACTGATGTGAAGATATCCTTTGTAGTTTCGTCCCTCAATTCGATTTCTGTTCTGGGCGTTGAACTTCAACTGTGGTCTATCATCACCAACTTCTTTGAAGGCTTTCAAATTGGTTTTGAAAGTGGGTTCCTTGCACTAGATAGTGAGTAGTGTGAACCTACTTCTGCTCCCCTTCTTCATCTGATCTTGTGTCCAGTAGGCTGCTTCTCCACTTTCTTCACATTCAGATGAAGTCGATCTCATTCCTAGTGTATTGCGTCCATCTGGTGAAATCAACTCCATGTCGCTCTCTTTGTCAATATCATTGTGTTTGTATACACTGCCTCCAATCACTATATCATTAAATGTGCAGAAATCTGCAAACAGTTCTCCATTCTGGTTCATCATTTCACTGAGTGCTTCTCGACCAATGATTGGTTTTCTTCCTGTGTTGTGCGCTCCCAGTTTAGCGTTCATGTCACCCCACCCATTAGAATTTTGATATCGCCAACTGATGTCTTGTCCATTTTTGGTTGCAGTTGTCAGTATAGTTCCTTCTTCTTCTCTTCATCTGCATTATTTGTGGGTGCGTAAAGTAACATTGAATGATTGTGACCTTTCTTCCTTTTGTCTTTAACCTTGCTGTCATGATCCTGGAGGAGATTGGTTCCCACTGTATGAGAGCCTTCGATGCTCTTCAAGGGGGCGTCTTGATGGACTCTCCAGAATTCAGTGTTCTCATGGTTGTCGTCTGGATGACAATATTGGAGTAGATTGTAGACTCTCCAATTGACAGTCTGGAGAGTTGGGTTCCATTTCATCTGCTTTCGCAGATTTCAAGCACTTGCATGTCATACCTCCTGATCTCTTTTGCAATCTGGACAGCCTTTGTAGGTTCAAACATAGTGCGGACATTCCACATTTGCTTTCGCTTTCTTTGATAGAAGAGAAGACACATCGGCTGACTGGCTACTGGAAGGCTTTCACCAACCGACGTGATTTCGCCTTACCGATTCCAGCGAGGAATGTTTGTTTTGATGTTTGATATTTTCTTTGTGATTTGAAGTTTCTTTAACGGTTGGATTTATTTTACGGGGTAAGAATGCTAGCCGTACGCCTAACCTTCTTTTTTTATCCGGGGTTGGGACCGGCTAGCAACTAGTGAACTAGTTACCTAGGTGAGGTTGTACTACAACTATATCTCAGCACATATTTTGAGAACACTGACTGTGATGTATGCTATAAGTGCAAATCTATCTCACTGTTTTATGAACTGCGTTTCGTATGAAGTAAGTTTGCTTGCCGAAGTAATATTATCTTGAGCAAATATTTCTGTGACATTCTACATTTCCTCTTTTGGTATAAACTGAAATGTAGTAGGGATTGTGATTCTTTATTTTGTAGTAATATTGAAACCTTGATACTGTGGCTCAGTGGTTTAAGGTGATGACTTCCCACTATTGGGTCACGGGTTTTAGCTTTACTGCATGAAAGTTCACAAGGTAGCTGAGTCCGTTGCAGTTAAATTGCAACTAATCTTTTCCATCCGACTGACTGGTAGTTCATTCATTTTGACCCATTTTCCCCTGTTCTAACATTTATTTTTTGTAAACATTGAAAAGCTGCGTTTTGATTAGTTGAATTATCTATCCCAAATAGCATTTTCATAATTTACTTCTATTAGAAGTACTTAGTTGCGGAAATTCTTTATTGTTTTATTGTCTATACGTACACCTTGCGTCATCTGTATGCACAGTAATTTGATGTGACACGTCCATTGACACTTATTGTTGTTTATCATTTGACTATCTGAGATCGCCGTAGTTTGGCAGACTAATATTTATACTTATTGTTTTGACCTCCGTATCTCTCCTCCTCTTCCTGTCTGAACAAATTGATCCGATACATCTCTGTGTGGTGTTGTAAGTTGACTTTTTTTTCCCTCTATTTATCTTATTTTCCCTCTTTTTGCCCCTTCCTCACTCTCATTATTTATTTTGATGCATATTTAATTTGATATCTGTGAAGATAATCTTTTCTTTTTTCTCCGATTGTCTTTTTGAAGAAATGTTTCATCGTAATCAGGTAACGAAACGGTATTTCTCATATCATATAGTATATTTGAATGAGGTCAAGATGTCTATTCCTCAATATATTTTGTAAATTTTAATCTTGCATACTGAGTTCACCTATACTCCTTACCACTTCATATATTTGAATGCTTCATATTTCACGTTTCAACTACCTGATCGCTACAAATTTACCTAATTATCATATAAAAATGTAGGCTACCGATCTGAGATAGTGGCGAAAGATTAATAGGTCTATATAGATTTGTAACTCATTGGTTTGAACAGTAGACGACTATCAACTACCGATTCATAGGTTGCAATCGACGTGATGATGTTACTTCATTCTGGACCTCTGAATAGTATAATTAAACTCCGTACATATGATTCTTACAAAGGTAAGTAACACCTATACAAGTCGAATTGCATTGCAAACTATCATCTCTACTTATCCTACACATAATAAATACAATACCCTGTGTTTAGTCAAAAGTATTTCCCAGTACATAAAACTTTATCATTTTTAAACAGTTCCTCATTTTCTATACCGTCTTAATAATATTAACAACAATACTCTACTATGGCTTTTTTTTTCCATTGCAATACAATTCTTGAGAGAATATACTGACAAACCGAAAACACTTTTATCGTGATTTCTTTGAAACTTCTCAATGGACTAATTTTGAATGAGATCAAAGTTATGCTTCATCATATGAAGCGTTTACTTCTCTGTGGTTCTTTCTTTCCTGTTGTACGGCTATGAGATATGGCCGTTAAAAGTAGTAGATATGAAACAGTTGCACGTTTTTGATCACATGTGTCTTCGTAACAATCGTCGCGTTTGGTAGTGAACAATGTTGAGGTCAGGCGAAAGGTACTTGGCAAGATCAGCAAGTTGATTGACGAGGTTGCGAGCCTTAGTCGGTCGGGATGGTTTGGACATGTGTTGCACATACCGAGCTGCTGCCTACTTCGTCATACTATACTGGTGGAAGGTTGAATAAATTGGAAGAGGGTTCAGGGTAGCTAAATCGAACCGTGCTATGTCTCGATGAGGTTGTGGACTGGTGGTCTGAGCCATGTAGGAAGGTGTAGACTGCCTGGTTGAGTTCTCTGAGATGACTGGTTTCAGTGGTTGAGGACTCTTGGTGACATGGTTGAAAATCGATTACAATGAAAGAGATGTATTCACTCCTTGACATCTAAACCTTGAATATTCACACTAGCCTATTTATCTTCAGATTGTTTATTCTCTCACACAGATTTGTCTATTTTGATATCATTCTCATTCTATCTACCTGTTTTTGTTACCTACTGTGAAGTGTGGCAATTTGAGGTGATGAACATGTGTGCGAGTTCCTATGTTCATTTTGCTTTTTGTCCTTCTACGCATATGACGTTCCCCACAATGACACTTATGCAACGTGTTGAGAGTTGCATTGGTAACTGTAAAGGCTCTCTACTTGTCCCACCCACAATCAATCCATTGCTCTTTGTTACTGTATAGTATTGTTCAGTTTCGCTCGAAAGAATTCTTTCAGTACTTACACTTTATCTCAATGATTTTCAAACAATTTCTCATATTCTAAGTGTTTATAGCGAAAACCTATTTTGGTTTCTTTTTATTTCAATAGAATTCTTAAGAGAATATGCTGATAAACCGACAATACCTTTTTATCGTGCTTTATTTGAAACTCAACAATGGACTAATTTTGTACGGGATCGAAGTTATGCCTCACCACGTGATGAAGAGTTAGATTACTTTGATAATCGTATTGAATTATTGCAAGAAAATGAATCAAAACCACGTCATCATCGTCACCATCGTTCTCATAATAGTTTAACTCTATCATCTATGAGCAATTTATTCGCAATTAGTAATCGACCATCAACATCATCATTTCATGAACAGTTGACGAATACAACTGTCGGTAGTAACCAATGTCACATTGTTGGTGTTAGTGATAATACTAGTAACCATTCTGGTGGTAAATCGATGTCAAGTAATGCTTCATTACGAGATCAATCAGATGAATCAATTGATTCACAATTTTCAAGTGATTTAGTGTTGCCTAGCACGTGAGTTTTTATGCGGTTGATGTACTTATTTTAGTATTTTTATTACATGGACTGTCATTTTTCAATATTTACTTGATTGAACTGAATTGGTTGTTATTTATTGTCACATATAATGATACCATGACACAGTCAACCATTTACCACCATGTGTTTCATTCGCATGTTATTTCTTCCCTGGTGACTGACGCTAAAATCAAGGATATCAATGACGGCCCGTTTAAGAGACTTCAGCTACATGTAATCATGCAACAGTGGGGAGATTATCCTTCTTTGGAATACTGCTACATCCATCTGACAACCGATAAACAGGATAAAACTAGCATCTTGGATTCTACCACTAACCAGTAGCAGACACATTGTTTTCTAATTACGATTCGGACAAGACATCAGTTGGCGATATCAAAATTCTAATGGGTGGGGTGACATGAACGCTAAACTGGGAGCGCACAACACAGGAAGAAAACCAATCATTGGTCGAGAAGCACTCAGTGAAATGATGAACCAGAATGGAGAACTGTTTGCAGATTTCTGCACATTTAATGATATAGTGATTGGAGGCAGTGTATACAAACACAATGATATTGACAAAGAGAGCGACATGGAGTTGATTTCACCAGATGGACGCAATACACTAGGAATGAGATCGACTTCATCTGAATGTGAAGAAAGTGGAGAAGCAGCCTACTGGACACAAGATCAGATGAAGAAGGGGAGCGGAAGTAGGTTCACACCACTCACTATCTAGTGCAAGGAACCTACCTTCAAAACCAATTTGAAAGCCTTCAAAGAAGTTGGTGATGATAGACCACAGTTGAAGTTCAACGCCCAGAACAGAAATCGAATTGAGGGACGAAACTACAAAGGACATCTTCACATCAGTCAACCATCAGCAAAAAATGGGAGATACTGAGCAACATCATCGCAGTAGAAACCTGCATGGAAGAACACTGGAACCCTCTGAGGACATGTGGAAGGAAACCTGCATAACCGTGTTAGGAAGGAAGAAGAAAGAAGACAGGGAGTGGATGTCGACGGACACATGGAAGCTGATCGAGTAGGGAGAAGAAGATGGTGGAGTAGACGATGAACCAGAGCAGTGCAGAGATGAACAACAAAAGAGGAACTGAATACAACCTCTAAAACACTGGACAAAGAGGTGAATAAGAATGCGTGCACAGACAAAAGACACTTCTACGACACATTGGCAAATGAAGAGATCAACTCAGATGAAACCAATGAAAGATGGTGAAGGAAAGCTAGTTACGGAAGAGGAGAAACAAAGGAAAAGATGGGCCGTCCACTTGAAAAGACTCATGAATCTACCACCACCACCACCACCACCACCACCACCACCACCACCACCACCACCACCACCACCACCACCACCACCACCACCACCACCACCACCACCACCACCACCACCACCACCACCACCACCACCACCACCACCACCACCACCACCACCACCACCACCACCACCACCACCACCACCACCACCACCACCACCACCACCACCACCACCACCACCACCACCACCACCACCACCACCACCACCACCACCACCACCACCACCACCACCACCACCACCACCACCACCACCACCACCACCACCACCACCACCACCACCACCACCACCACCACCACCACCACCACCACCACCACCACCACTACTACTACTTTTGCATACTGGTGGTCTGGTTGGTGGCTAGCAGTGGAATGCAGGACATGTGTTTCGTCTCTTTTGTGACTCGTCTGCTATTTGTACCTGCGCCAATGAGATTCGAACACAGTTTCCGTGGTTTCAGACACTAAAGCTTTATCTAGTAGTCTGCTGAGACCTTAGTGCACCTCTGGTGCGGCGCGCATCAGTTTCTTTCTGATATTTGTTGTCTCCCGTTGCTGTATTGCTTCGAGTCGCTTGACCTCTTTTTATACATTAATACCGCATACGTATGGAAGTTTGACTTCGTTGCTATCGGTCCCACTTGTTATAAATGGCTTATAGATGTCCGTTAATGTAATTTTTCTAGGTGTTTGATAATGACAGTTTTTGTTTGTTTTGACTGATTTCGGAAAGCAAACATAATGAATTATGTTTGACTTTGCTCTTCTTATAACATTCAAATAAGTAGTATTTCACGTTCTTTCAGTTATTTGAATCCACTGGTTCAAAATAAATGTGCATGCTTCTGATTAGAATATACTCAGAAATTTAAAATGAAGTTGGATGATTTTCACATCTTCAATATGATTTCCCATCAAACTGGTTATAACACAATTAGATTCAGATAGATGTATTTCAACTATAAAATATATGTCAAAATCCGCAAAAATAAATAGATAGACAATATCAACTTATGACCTGTCACTATATGTGATTCATACAGTTTTCCTTGCAGATATTAGCAACTATGTAGAGTGATTCTTCCCTCTCTCCACTACAAAATCAGTGCCTAACTCTATCGTTTATGATGTTCTTTAGAATATTTAGACAGTAATCGAGGCATCCGCATAGTGGCCAATCTGCAAACAGAAGTCGAACGAATTTGATTCAGGAGAACAACAGAAAATTACAAGCACCAGTAAATCCACTATATATATGATTCACTTTCTCCAGGATGTGTCATATTTGTTCTGTTTTTCGTAATTGAAAAACTGTCTACTTCTGTCGTCGGAACTTCACCACCCCCAGTATCTAAGATTTTTCTAGTGTTCCGAGCGAAATGTGAAATGATTTTTTTTACATAACAGTTGGATGATTAGCCTTACAAAGGCTTCTAATTGGCATATTTTCTTCTGGTTGTAATCGAAGCTGTAAAAATTTATGAAGGGAATATGCATAATTACCCTAGTTTTTCCTATAATTCTTTACACTTTAATATCTTTTGGTTTACTTTACTCACCTCATATTAATTTTCATTCATCTCTTCTGACTACTATTTGTAGTCAATGTACAATTGTTATAGGTCCTCCATGTTGGCCAATTCCAGAATTCTTCGACAAATCTCAACAAGATCAAAGTTTATGGACAACTGAATATTCATTTGGTGTTATCCCAATAAAAATCAACTCCAAGCTATTGAATTTATTAGCTTCTAGAGCTCTACTCCTGACTGTTACATCATCAGAAAATCTTATCTCTACAATATATCAGTCTCACAATGATTTCAGTAAACAGACTATCATGGCGACTGTAATGTCACCAAAATTAGGAAGTGAAGGTTTAGGAAATGTTATCCTGCATAAAAAATCACTTATAGATGCTCCACCTGGTACTACTACTACTACTACTACTACTACTACTACTACTACTACTACTACCATCGCTGCCGATACTGATATGCTTTCGTCATCCCACTTAATAAATATCAATAATTGTAAATTGTCAATTAACAATAATACTTCAGATCATGCTGATTCTCAGATAACGACAATGATGACAATGCTGCAGATAAATAATACTCATCGATTTGGTTCATTAATGCTTGCTGATAGTCCATCTCCCTTATTAATACGTGCAAATCGTTCAGATAAGAATACATGTTTAATTGGCTTGAGTACAGAGTATTCTCTACCAGGGAATAATGTGACAATTCTAAAACGTTCATCACAAGAACTACGCAATACAGCAAATTATTGTGAGTTTACAAACTAAACAAGCCTAGTCCGTTTTCTTTAAGTAGGTTTTTTCTACTTTATCTTGCCTATGGAATACTAAATAAAGTCAGAATAGACTGATGATTACCTAGGTAGTCACATTTACTTTAACGAATTAATAAATGATGAAATCTCACTGCAGATGTAAATCATTTGGTTAGACTTGTTTATTTGATATGGCACACAATGAGTGATACAGTATTATTTACTTGACGAAATTTCGAGCATAAATTACTATTTAGAAGTAGTAGTCATCATAGACTGACGTTAGTTGGGGAACCATTGAAGACGTGGGGGCACTGGACAGCTGTTTCATCCAACTAGCATCGGACCCCCCGGGAGCACGCACCCACGATCCGGCTAGGGATCGAAACCAGGATCTCCAGGTTTCATGGCAAACACGTTAACCATTCAACCACTGAATCGATTCTCAGTGGTTCAGAATTTCCAACTTCTATCAATTCATGACATAGCGCGGCTATCACCCAAGGTCTTCAGTTAGCATCCGCTTCACTTACGACTGGTTGACCCACAGGTCACGACTTCTCATTAGAGCTTCGTGATATCCATCTGGAAGCCAGTCACTAATGAGCACTATAGAGTAATGTATTTTTGAGATGAATGGGGATTTTTAATTTAGAAGTAGTATTCATCATGAACTGACATCAGTTAGGGAAGCACCGAAAATCTGGGAGCACTCGGCAGCCGTTTCGTTCTTCTATGGGACTCCTCAGAAGTACGCACTCATGACCCGGCTAGGGATCGAACTCAGGACCTTTAGGTTTCACGGCAAACGCGTTAATTACTATTGTTCATAATCATATTCGTCGTGTAATCACATCGTTCCCGATATCTGACTTTGAAAGTCCTATCACTCATCTGATATTCTTTGTTTTTATTGGTAGTGCAATTTTGCACGTATCTGGTATAAGTGTTAGATGGGTTGGGTGTTGATTTGATGAACAAAGATTCTGTATTTAGCTAAATTCCTATGTTCCACTATTGTAACTGATCTCGACTGGCTAGTTTGAACTATGTAGCTGACCTCTCAGTGATTACATGGAATTGGATATATTAGATTATTTTGCTCAATTGGTTCTATCGAATCCTTGAACCAGCCGACAGAGCTTATCTCTGAGTGATTTCGTAGGTTTAAATGCCGCCCTAATTCCAGTCTTGTTGAGAATCTTACGCAAAGTTTCTGATGTCCCTTCCTTAAATTGTAACACCATTAATATATTATGTTATTTATCTGTCCTTTGGGTTCCTAGTGGAACATAGGGCTTCAGTAGCACGTCTCCATTTCACTCACTCTCTTCCCTCCAACCTTTTAAACCTGGCTCCACATCTGCTCATAAGCTCTCATTCCTTCCTCACATCACCTCCTCCATGTTACCCTCGGAGGACCAACTCGTCGTTATCACTTTGGATTCCACTCGAGAGCATGGTCTGGCACGTGGTACATCTAGATTATCTCCCCAGTGTATGTTCAATCAAATCCATCTCCACTTTCTTCTTTACCATATTTGTTGGGCGATAGCTTCTTGGTTTGTTGGTTCGTTGCCAAGCCAGGTCCAGGCCAGAGTTCCTCCTTGCTTATTCTAACTAGTCTCGCCATCTGATCTGATCTTCAGTATCGAATGAGCGTAGGTGGCAGCTGCTGATGAGTGTCTGTAGTTTGTTGGAAATGCTATTCGTAATGCGTCAAGTCTCTCAACCATCATCACACAGAAGCACTGACTGACTTGACTGAATTAGTGTTGAAAATCCGGATCTTGTTGTTCATATTGAGTGGCGTGGAGTGCAGTGGAGTGCAGTAGACCTCCACATGGGTTTAGGTTACTGGATGCCTGTCTTGCTGTCTTCCCAATGTTGACTTAGACATCCTCATGTGTGCCTGTGCTGCCTGTGTTTGAGATAATTCTGCCCTGCCTAGGTGGATGAAAGAGACTACTTCGTTTAGATTTCTCCCATTGATGGTGATTGGAGGTTTTGAACTCCTTTCCACTTGTGTTGTCGCTATTATTCGTGTTCATATTGTTCTTATTATTTCGTTTCTGGAATTCGCACCAATTTTCTTAATTAACGGTACTGTATAACTTTTAATTACTAACGCTTCTTTTGTGTTTCAATTCCATGTTTGAGCCCTTGCACAGACTAGTGAGGTATGTAGCTCTAATATTTAGATATTTGAGTAAACCCGCCTTTATTGATATTGGATGATATGAACTGAAATCTAGATACCTGTTGAAATGCGTCGGTTACTTGTGGAAGGTAATATTAAAATCGCTGTCTGTTCTCCGTTTTACCGTTTCTTTCTCTCAAGTGTAGCCCTCCTAATATTGTGTGCTTTCAGTGTGATTTTGTCAAAAGATACAGAAATTATAACTGTTGCTCCCATCAGATCTCGTTTTTTTACTTACAGTAAATCAAACCACTTCATTATGTGTAATACGTGTTTATGTGTAGAAATGCTATAACAAGCAATCGTTTAAATACTATTCTACTATATATCAACTAACCACCGCCCACCGTCATTAGTAAGTAAATAAACGTGTTTACTTTTATACAGTAGACTATTAACAAGACTATTACAGAAGTCTCCATAAGTGTTTAAGGGAACTTCTGTAATGTTCATTCTGTCTAGTATTCCTGAATTCTCCTCAGGACAGTATACTGGTGGTATTTCGTAGTTCAGCTGTTTTGAATAGGTTGTATTGGCCTTCTATAATTGAAAGGTTGTCAGTATTTTTACAGTTCGACTTTAAGCAATGAAGCATAATAGCATCATATCGGGCAAAGTTACAACAGTGATTAAGAATCCGTGGCACATCTACCTATACTAGGCACTTATGTTTTATCATGTATTATTACTGCATATTTCTTAGCTGATAATAATGATGCACTAGTTCAATTAAATTTTGAGGGGGTTGTGGAGATTTGGAATTATTTCAAGTTGTTATTCATCGAAGACAGACATCAGTTGGAGGAACAAAGGAAGCCTGGGAGCACTGGACAGCTGTTTCGTCCTAGTATGGGACTCCTCAGCAGTGCGCACCCACGACCCACCAGCAGGGAATAACAACTTGAAATAATTCCAAATCTCCACAACCCCCTCAAAATTTAATTGAACTAGTGCTCGTTGGTGACTAGCTTCGAGAAGTATTCCCGAAGTTCTAATGACAAGTCGTGACCGGTGGAGTCAAAGCCTGATGGCCGTGAGGACAAATACTCAACGATGACATTGGGTGGCGGTTTGCGCTATATCGTGAGCTAAGAGAAGTTGGAAATATGGAGCATTGGATTGTGACCCAGTGGCTCAATGGTAACGCGCTGGTCGCGGAACCTGAAGGTCGCGGGTTCGATCCCTGCTGGTGGGGTCGTGGGTGCGCACTGCTCACGAATCTCATACTAGGACGAAACAGCTGTCCAGTGCTCCCAGGTTTCCTTTCTTCCTCCAACTGATGTCAGTCTTCCATGAATAACAACTTGAAATAATGATGCAATTGTTCATATCTTGTTAATTTCTGTTATTATTTACTTGAATTTCAACGTCCCACTCATTGGAACGCTGGTCATCACTACTTTGCTCCGTTTAAATCTCAAACAACAGATAATTCCCCAGTAGTATATCAGTTGTACAAACGTCTATTGAAGATTGAAACTTTCATCCGAAACTGAATCATTAGCTACTCTTTCTATCGCTTCAAAAGTTATAGACTTTTTGAAATGCATGTGAACAGTAAATATTCCTGATAACTGTAAATTATCATTACATTTAGGCTCATGTAAACACTCAACAGTCCTTTTAGGTCGAAATGTCGTGATTTATAGATCACTAGTTTTTAACACTTACATGTAACAGCTTAATTGTTTTTAATATCTTGACATCTGATCAATAAACTTTAATAGGTCACTACCACTTGTTCTGAGCTTCACTGTCCACAAGGTTATCGTTTAATATATAATCTGTTTATTATTGAAATGATGTGGGAGACTGTACAGAGGTAGTACTGAAAAGTACGAGTAATGTAAAACCGTGCACACCACCCACCAGCCGTTATACATTTCACCTATCAGAAGCAATTACTTTCAAATGTTTGATCCGATATATTATAATAATTTAATATTCATTTTATCCTCTACCTCTTGCAACTCTAAATTCTATAGGTATGGATATTTCACAAAACGATGATTGTTCTATGCCAAAGTATTTAGCTGCAACCGCGTATTCGATTTGGTTCATGTTACTCCCAGCCTACTTGGCTTCTGTGCATACATACTATATAAATGAATTTGGCAATGTTAGTCCTCCTAACGATGATAGTGGTGAACGTAATACTGTTGAAAGTGTGACCACTCATCCTTCAGGACAACATTCAACAAACACAACACATCAACTGTCATCAACTCCATCCAATGTTTATGCAATGAATGTGGTTAAACAAATTATAGCTCAATCAGTTGGTGTATTCAATCGCATGCAGTATTACGGATTGGAAGTATCTGATCAGGTAATTATTAAAATATTTCCCTACTAATAATTCTGGTCAATATTTCCAAATAACACTCATTCATTGAATGATTAAGGTGTTATAACCACATATATGTAGTTAAAACTCTCCACTTAAACATGTAGTAACTGAGACAAGCATATGGTTAGTTGACAGGAAGTGGGTTGACACCAGCCAGAGAAACAATAAAACTTAGGGAACAGCAAAGAATTCACCATCAACCTCATACTGGATCCATATGAGGACCATCAAGATTCAGGTTAATCCATAGTACCAGTCGTTTGTTGATCTGGAGTCCCATAGTTATTTTTCTCCATGTTTTTCACTGCTCACGCTTGGAATCGAAATGAAATACACTCAACAACTCTGTGCACATTCAATAAGCCAAATTTATTGTGTAATGGCTACCTGGTTGCCGAAACCATGGTAGATGGGATGGTGTTTGTGAACCCCGTGACCCATTGTTTGATATTCATTTCCCTAAATTAATGTCACAACGTTACACAACCCTATTACGTGGAGTTCTTTTAGCTAGTATGTCGGTTTGGGTGAATAGCATATTCTCAACATGCAAAAAAGCCATTCAGACTAGATAATTAGCGACATTGGTAGCAGTTAATCATCCACTACTGACGCCTTTTCAAAGGAAGCTTGTTAACATAATTATCTATGATATACTGTCTAAATCTTACGTCTTGTTTTCTTTGGTGTATTATTACAGTTAGTGTTTGACCAAAATGCTACCAAAATGGTACTGATTTTGACAGTATGTTTGTCTGGTTATTTCATTCATTTTGCAATAGTGAATTTCTTATAGGGCTATCCTGAGTCTACCTACATACACACAAGCTACATCTAACCTCTCAAGTTTACATATACGTTCCACTGATATTAGAGTGATTTTGAGTCGATCAAACTTTCTTAATGAAGATCAATTTCACTCTGTTACCAATATATTGACGACTTCCTAGTGTAAGTGAATCCTATTGAAAAGACCTATCTGTGTCGAAGACATGAAATATTAGTTGCAGTACTATTAATCTAAACAATAGGATTGCCATCCAGTGACAGAAGGATAAAATATTTTTTTCCTGAAGGTGGTTTGGGCGCTCACCACTGATAACTTTCTGAAGTGGTCGAATAGTCCTTGATGATGATGAATCTTCTCATAACTGATAGCTTACGAATTGAAAACTGTCTTTATACTCCCAGAACAAATCAACACACGACTATTGATACTGATCACTAGAATACTGTCTCCACACTATTCGAAAACAAGAATGAGGAGGTGAGAATTTATTGCAAATATTAGTTGTTTATGAAGGATTTTACTAGACCGATAATATCTCTGACACTTATTAGTAGTGGAATAATAAAGTCCTAAAGACACCAACTTTTCATCAAGGCCAGTAAAATACGAATGAAACTATTAGTCCATATTTTACACGTTTCCTACTGTAAGCAAATAAATATCCACTGATTCTTCAATTAGTATCAATATATGATGAACTGAATCTTCTAAGCTAAAAGATTATTCTTCGATAAGATGATAACAGTATCAGATCTCACTCTATTCGGATCAGTTTTTTAATCATCCTACCTATTTGCTAATATTTAATATTTGTTTCATGCTTTCATCTTCTTTTGTTCCTTCCATTACTCTAGGTTGCTTTACGAATACTATTAGTTCTATTATATCAAAATCGTTTGGAGAATTTCGACTTGATGCAATTTATTGATTCGATAAAGTGGAATCTTTTTTCAACTGGAATTGCAAATCATGTGAGTTGTCTATTGGATGTTGTTTTTGTTTTTTCAAGCATTTCTTTGGTTGGCGTTGTTGATACTTCGTGATAGAATTTGAATTGCATGTTTTTCAGCTAACGAATCTATCTATAAGCCGCCAGTCTTGCTGTTTCCATTATGACCTGAACTCACCAACACTATTATCTTATGGATTAAAGTGTTTGTGTTTCTATTAAGCTATTGAGTTTTTATAGTTACATTGTGTTCAACTCATATTAGTTGTTATTAGAATTTTCAATCTTTCACGTTGTCGTATAGGTATACTATGCCAGCTTATGTGCTTCTTGTATAGATATCAACAATGGTTAATACTCAATAAAAATGAATGAAGTTATTTCTTTGAAATAGTAGATATTATGTTTCGAATTCCATCTGAAAAACCTCCATCCACCTAGTTGCATATATGTTCAGTTTGCTTGTGCACCACAGACAAAGTGGACAAAGTGACTGGTACTCTAGAATTTCGCTTAGAGATGTAATTACAAGAAATACCAATTGTCTTAACTAAGTAAGGGGCTATTAATGAATAGGAAGTTTGTCATCACAGTAAACCTTCCTCAGTGTTTTTCCATTATCTTTTAAGTGATCATTAGAACTAGATCACATTTCCTAACTATGAGTATAGGTTTCACAGAGAAGTAGGCAGTAGTTTAGTTGCGTTTCTTCATATAGACAATTTAGTGTGCGTCTCCTTTTATGTGCTGTGTGTATACTGTCACTGTCTCTTTCCTTAGTCGTAACTCCATATCTGGAGCAAGCTTATAGTCCACAAGTATATGTTACCATAATTTTGATGGGAAGGTTTTTTATGGGACAATTAAAAAGTACGAGATCGTTAAAGGTCATTTTCTTCGACTCAGAATAAGAAGGCGACGTCAGCATAAACTACATTCTGCTCTCAGGTAACACTTTACTGACAGCACGCCGCCTGACGTTTTCAAGCACAGAGATAGGAAGTTAATTAAAGTGATGTAGGTACTAGGTAATGTATGGGAATCAGAGGTAATGCCGTCAGACTGGTCTACTTCTCTCATCATCACCCAGAGGAGAGAAATGTTTTCTTATGATAGTCATAGGGGGAATTAGTTTGACTAATATTATGTCCAAGATACTAGGGTCCATAGCTGTCCAATGCCTTACCTGGGGCTTGATGATAGCAAACTTCAGAAAACCAGGTTGGTTTCAGACCCAGACGAGAATGCATCGACCATACTTTCACCCTCTGACAGGTCCTGGAACACAGGCATACTTACCATATTTCTCGACCTAAAAGCAGCATTTGATTGTATCGACCGTGAGATGTTGTGGCATTGTCTGACTGTGAAGGGAGTGCCAAGCAAGTACATAACGTTTATTACAGCTCTCCACTCGTACTCATGCAGTCGTGCCAGAGCTTTTGCAGGGCTGTCTTGTGAATCGACGGCAACTAGTGGTGTCCGCCAGGGATACATAACGTCATCCTTCCTGCTTAACTTCGTTAAAAATGTACTCTAGGTAAGTCTAACTTCAAAGGGATTGATCTACTCCATGGTGATCATCTGGTTGACTTGGAGTATGCAGGCGGTATTGTCCTGCGTTGTGAAGACGCTGACAAAATGAAGGGTCTTTGAAACGCGTTGAGCAGAAATCTAAATATGTTTGGTTGGCATGCGTTTCGCACCTCTCAAACGTAAGTTGATGTTGCAGGTCTGGTCTGCAACGACTCCAAGTTTAATGATAGGGAGTGAAGTGGTGGAACGTATCGAACACTGTTTAATTGGGGAGTGACATCGGCTTGAACAGGGTGCTTACCAACGAAATCTCAGCTTGGATACAGAAGAGCCGTTTGGAATTAGTCAACTTACATCATCTATGGCGCAAGTGAGATATCGCTGCAGTTCGTTCTGTCCTATTGTTCAGCTGAGACATGGGTGTTAAAAGTAGAAAACATGAGATGGCTACAAGATTTCGATCATATATGCCTTCGTAGTATTGGTCGCGTTTAGTGGAATTACTATTTAGGAAGTATTGAGGTCAGGTGAAGGGTGCCAACTGACAGAGAGTACCAACATCAAACCTCGCATCGACTCAAGTCGCCACACTTCACAGTAGTATACAAAGAACAACTGGATGGAAGAAGACTGATAGCAAAGTGGACAAAGTTCTGTGAGAGAGTAAATAATCTGAAGATAACGTTTAACGCGAATATTCAAGAAGTGAATACATCTGGACCACTGTGACCGATTCTCAACCATGTCTCCAAGAGTCCTCAACCACTGATTCCTTTCGTCACGAAGACCCCAACATGGCAGTCTACATATTCCCAAGATAGCTAAGTCGATTGATGAGTTTGTTAACCTTAGTTGACTGAAATGGCTTGGACATACACTGTGCATCCCCAGCAACCGCCTACCTCGATGTACCATACTAGGGGAACAGGATTAGGTTGGAAGAAGAAGGGTTCAGTGTGGCCAGACCAATACATGGTACTGAGGGACGAAATCTCTGACTGTCGATCTGAGGTGTGCAGGGAGATGTAGACTGCGTGGTTTGCGTCTCTGAGATGGTAGAAATCAGTGGTTGATGAGTCTTGGTGACATTTCTGAAGCTGGGTCTCAGTGGCGTAGACGTATTTACTCTTTGACGTTTTCTAAAGCTTGAATATTTGCACTAAGCGTTATCTTCAAATTGTTCTATATTTCACACAACTTTGTCTACTTTGATATCACTCTTTTTCTATCCACTTGTTCTCTTTGAAGTGAGGCAACTTACGATGATGCACGGGTGTGTCGGGTTCTATGTTGAATTTTTCTGTCTGTCTCTCTGCAGCCTGCAGTAAAATTTTATCCTGCCTCATAAGTATAATGTAAGTTATTTGAATTATGATAGCACCTGCTTTGAGTCTCAACTTTCCAATGCATCTCTCTAAGATGGTGGTACATAAAAGGGTAATCGTCCCAACCGAAACACCTCATTGGGTCAATAGAATATGCAGGTCTGATCAGCATGTCGAAGTCCTAGATTGCGGCTGAGATTCTTAAAATGACAGTGCGAGAAATGAAACATTTTGTCTTCGTTATCGATAATAACATAGCTATGTAGATGTTGTGGATCGTCGATGAAAGTCATATTTGAATGAGGATTTTTCGATAGACACTTTGTCTACCTTTTTACCTTGTTCTCCTGCCTCCTCTGTTTTTTCTCTTTCTATAAAGATTTATAGGGCATATGAAAAAGAACTAAAGGAACAAGAAAGATTACATAAAGAACGCTTGAAATCTACTACTGGCCATCACAATTGTTATGAACAACAAAAAGAACATGAATATCAACAACTTCATCCTACCTATGGTTGTTCAGCGTCTGTTGTAGACTGTATCACCAATACTGAGTTGCATAATTCATTGAAGGAGTTAAATTCATCTTCTGATGTCATCAATGACAAGAATGCAGGTAAGTGTATCTTGGAAGATTGAAAGTACTACTACCATTAGCAATGTAATTCAAATTTATTAAAACGATTAGTCCCTTTAATAAATTTCGATAACATTATTAGAAGACGAAAATTATTTGAAAAATGTAATATATTTAGCTCAAAACATTTCAAACAATCTAATCATAAAATTAATTTTTTAAGCTGTTATTCATCGTAGACTGACATCAGTTGGAGGAACAAAGAAAACCCGAGAGCACTGGACAGTTATTTCGTCCTAGTACGGGACTCGTCAACAGTGTGCACCCACGACCCCGCCAGGGCTTGAACCCGCGCCCCTCAGGTTCCGTGTCCAGCACGTTACCATTGAGCCACTGGGTCAGAATCCAATGGTCCATATTTCCAACTTCTGTTAGCTCACGATATAGCTATAAAATATCTTGAATGTTGTTTTCGTATTAACCTTATGATTCATTTCAATGAAGATGTTTTGCTATAGATGAAGATGAATGTCTGTCACATGCACTTATCAAAGTTTGTGTCTTAAATTGTTTTTCAATTCATTTCGGTATATGTTCACCTACCCTAGTCTGAATTGTACGATTACTCCTCCCTATGTATGTGTGACACACATACATTTAATTCGGGATGTGACGTAATCATTTGTGCGAGGTCGCTACAAACCTCAACCTCGCATAAATTGTTATGGTAAGCCTTATCTGATTATTCGAAGATCTATAGGCGAAAAGTAACAAGTTGACAGAAGAGGCAGCGAAGACGGGACTTCAAATGAATATAGAGAAGGTGGAGGTGATGAAAGGATACCCAACTAACAACAGCATCAGCAACAAGCACCAATCCCCATTAACGGGAGAAACCTAAAGGAAATAGTCTCTTTCACCTACCTAAGCAGCATCGTTTCAATTACAGGCGGCCCAAGCACAGATGAGGACGTCATAGCCAGGATCGGAAAGACAGCAAGACAGATGTTCATTTACCTGAAACCAGTGTGGAGATCTTCTGCACTCAGCATAAAACGTGAAAAAGATCCGGATTTTCAACATCAACGTCAAGTCAGTGCATCTGTATGGTTCAGAAACTTTGCGCGTTACGAAAGGGATTTCTAACTACAGAAAGAATAAGCAACAAGGAACTCTGGAAACGCACCAACCAAGAACCTATCGCCCAACAGATATGTAGGAGAAAGTGGGGGTGGATTGGGCATACACTAAGAAGGCCGATTGGGGACATCCCGCGTCAGGCCAAGCCCTCAAGTGGATTTGATGAGGGAAACGACGAGTTGGGCATCCGAGACGAGGATGATATGGAGGAGATCATGTAAGAAAGAAATGAAAGGTTGTGGGTAGTGGTGGAGCCAGGTTGAGCAAACTGCAGAAAACAGAGTCCAATGAAGGCGTACTACTGAAGCCCTATGTTCCACTAGGAACCCAAGGGAAAAATTGATTAATAATAATAATAATAATAATAATAGTAATAATAATAATAATAAATTATCTGATTACCAAGACTAGTGTCACAACCTTTTCATATTCGTTATATGTTATCGTACAGTTTTCCTTTCATTTCCATATATAAATTGACTCTACGAGTAAATGTGTGATCAGATTGTTCGAAATGTATTACGCAAATACATCACTTTTATAGTGTTTATTCTACATTTCTTACATTTGTTGATATTATACTTCCTATTAATGTAACTGACACTTTTCGAATTTCCGAATCAACAATTTGTTCAGATCATATGTAATAATATTATACGATGTTACAAGGACATATTTCTTACACCTTACTAATTCCATGTGCATTTATCAGTTTAAACTGCTTCTCTAGAGCTAGTTACATTGGGCGTACGATGAAGTAGGTTTATTGTCGAATTTCTAAGTATCACCCATCATGGCTGAATAAAGAATTGATTAAAACAATAAACAGCTCCATACTTGGAAGCTTAGTTGACGTCGTATATCAAGTAAGCACTAAAAACGTATTTAAAGTTATCCTTTATACACCCATTAATTTACCCAATAGACTACGCATTCGCTTACTTCACATAACAGAGGCGACTGTAATCCACTTGCCTAACCTTTGTATTCAAAAGAAATCTGTCCAACCATTTGCATTCCCGTGGCCGTCAACATGATCCAACTTCTAGAATTACTTTGTATCCGTCTTCCTCGCCTGTCCTATCATTATTCATATGCTTTCTTATTCATGTGTTATTACTTATTGTTTATGACTGACCTTTCGAAAAAGCACTTCATTCACTTTACCTGCTACTGTACAACCTCCCAAAGAATAAACCGTCTTACATTATTATCATCCATATTACTAGTTTTAACCCTGGTTAATTACCATAATAATAATTATTATTATTTGCATCTTGATTTCTCAAACTTATAACTTACAATCTTTAATTATTCTTTATCAACCCCTCTCACCACTTGATTGGTATTTTCAATGAATCGTAAAACTATCTCTTAGTATAAGACCAAAGACGAAGACCTTATTGAAAAGGAATCTTTGTCTCCACTCAATCGGTCCCTCTTTCTTCAGTCCACTAAGACTTATGGAACTTCCTCTTAAGTAAATGAGTTAGTCAACGTAACCCACCAATTCACTCTATATTCATACAACTAAGAGTTGATCCATACCAGCTTTGAAGTACTATCTTACAGGTGAAGAACGCTTACTAATCATACTGAAATCTTTCAGGATACATATTATCACTAATAACCTAGTAGCACTTTTTTTTCTCGTACTCTAAATCAAAATGAATTCGAAAACAATAAGTTGTACTATCCGTTGTCACTGATTACTTTAGTACATTGATAAGTAAGTTCATAAAGTAACATGAGTTCTTTGATCTTCTTGGTAGCCTACATAATAAATTACTGGTTAGAGGTACCACGAACTCAAGGTCAATCATTTTAACACTCTTTTGTCACGAATTTTTGAAGTACTGTTTCTTGATATTACTGGACTTTGTCACTTATGAAATTGCAGCCATTAGAACCGACGGACATTGATGCGTTGCTAGTCTACACATTCCAATACTGAATCTCTGGGTCAGACATCGTAAACTGAACGTGGAATTTTTTTTATAGTGTTTGACGTCAAATACAAAAGACAGTTATTATTATTTGTCCCCTGGGTTCTTGAGATTGAGATGAAGTCGATCTCATTCCTAGTGTAGTGTGTTCATCTGGTGAAATCCATGTCGCTTTGTGGATATCCTTGTGCTTGAACACAGTGCCTCCAATCACCAAATCGTTGAATGCGCAGAAGTCTACAAACAGTTTTCCATTCTCGTTCATTTCACTGAGCGCTTCTCGACCTATAGTTAGTTCTTTTCCTGTGTTGTCCCCTCCCAGTTTAACATTCATATCACCCCACCCATTAGAATTTTGATATCGCCAACTGATGTCTTGTCAAGTGTTGATTGCAGTTGTCTGTAGAATTTCTCCTCTTCATCTGCATTATTTGTAGGTGTGTAAAGTAACATTGAATGATTGTGACGTTTCTTCCTTTTGACTTGAACCTTGCTGTCATGATCCTGGAGGAGATTGGTTCCCACTGTATGAGAGCCTTCGATGCTCTTCAAGGGGCGTCTTGATAGACTCTCCAAAATTCAGTGTGCTCGTGGTTGTCGTCTGGGTGACAATATTGGAGTAGATTATTGACTCTCCAATTGACAGTCTGGAGAGTTGACTTCCATTTCATCTGCTTTCGCAGATTCCAAGCACTTGCATGTCATACCTCCTCATCTCTTTTGCAATCTGGGCATCCTTGGTTGGTTCAAACATAGTGCGGACATTCCACATTTGCTTTCGCTTTTTTTGAGAGAAGAGAAGACACATCGGCTGACTGGCTACTGGAAGGCTTTCACCAACCGACGTGATTTCGCCTTACCGATTCCAGCGAGGAATGTTTGTTTTGATGTTTGATATTTTCTTTGTGATTTGAAGTTTTTTTAGCGGTTGGATTTGTTTTACGGGGTAGGGTTGCTAGCCCTACGCCCAACCATCCTTCCTTACCCGAGCTTAGGACCGGCTAGTTAACCAGGCGAGGTTACAGAAGACAGTATTAGTTGTTAAAAAGAAGGCATTGTATTATCACATCATGTTGACTAGAAGTAAGAGATCATAAGTGTAAAATACTGAAAAAGCCTCAAGATGTGGATGCTGGTAGTTTGTTCTCCGAACTTTGATATTTTGTCGTGAACGTTTCGTCACCAACCTTGGTGACATCTTCAGCACTAACCTCATAAAGGAGTGAATGTTATTCAAATACTACATGGAAGTTTAGATAGTGTTTTCGTTGACCTTGAACGTTGTCCAATGGTTCAATTCTTTCCCAACTTACAGTTGTACAACACCCATTATCATAAAAACACTAAACATTCGTTTAATATTCGATGATGCTTCACTTCTGTTTAAGGTTAGTGCTGAAGATGTCACCAAGGCTGGTGATGAAAAACTCACGACAAAATATCAAAACTCAGACAACACCAAACCACCGTCGCTGAAGAAACCTTTTTGTATTGCATTCAGTGCAAAATATCAAATCAAGTAATTCAGTTGCTGTTTTGTAGCCGTTGATTGATTTTAACTTAGTTTACATAACGAGGATCATTAAAACCTTGCAACACTGGATAGTTACTTCATGCTGGTTTGAGACTGCCTAACACTATGCACCTGTGACCTCAGAGGGATCGGACTCAAGACCTTTAGTTCTGTCTATGAGCATGTCACCATTCATTCACTAGGTTAGAATCGCCTAGTCCATCCATTCCCACCTTTGTCGATTCATAGCATAGCACCACTACCGGCTAATTCTTTTGATTAACAACTGCTTTAACCTCTGAATTGGTTGGTCGTGCGAGCCATGTCTTCTTGTTAGTGACGTGAATATCTTGAAAAATAAGATTTTTGCATGGATACTACGTTGGATCCAGTGAACTGAGTTGCATTGGACCAATGAGGCCCGAATCCTGTCCAGATTTTTATTTCTCTTAAGTCATCAAGCGTTTTGCCCAACTACCATGTAACTTCGTGACGCATTACTATTGCTTGATCGTGTTCTCATAGGCTGCCCAATCAGGACTTCTCATCTCTATCCAAATCTAACTGAATTAGAGACGGGGAGCATCATATTGATTATCATTTAGACTACCGACCACCGGTGGTCGCAATCTAAATTTTCACTTCACCTTCAATCATCTAGTATAAATACTAGTCTGCTAAACCACTGCTGGTATCTCAGACGGTCTAAATGATTACTGTTGTAATCATTACAAATCTACTAAGATTTGACGAACACGAATTGTACAATTTATGGATAAATTACTAATCGCCTTTATTCACTTCACCAGACCAACTGCACACGTACAACATACTTAGCTAGTGTTGCTTCTTATCTAAATATAATAATACTATGCTTTCTTTCATCTTAAAAAAAAACTAATCAAGGTGTTATCAATACCCTAAAGCCTGTCACCTCATCTGAAGATCTTACCAACCTAGGTCATTTATCATTGAAGACAATTACAGATGAAATGAGTCCTAATCAAGATTCGTCTGATGATAGGTCCATGTTTAATACAAACAGTTCAGTTTCTTGCTTATCAACCCAAAACCGACATCATCAACAGTACAAAGAATTAATCAGATGTAATCAGACGTCTGCCACTACTCCTGTATGCTGTGGTCTACCACCCAAACCGCCTCCGAAACAGCAAATGAGTCGTAAGCTTTCTACAACCTTTTATATATATATATATATATATATATATATATATATATATATATATATCCATTGCATTGCATTAATTATTCACTAGGGAGTAGCCAATATCATGTAGTCATGTGCTGACTGGATTCTATCGTTCATTTTATAAAGTGGTCACCCAGTGAATAGACTCAGCATCAAATTGTACTTTGATTGATGTTAGATGGTATAAAGTAATCGGCAAGAAGCCATTGGTGAAGATCCAGGCTGCATAAATGTTGGAAGCTGCCAGACCAAAACATGGCATCATTGAATAAAGTTTTTGACTGTTGGTCTGAGCCGTGTAGTAAAATGTAGACTTTATGCTTGTGTCCGCGCGACAACACAAACCAGTAACTTGGAACTCTTGGTGGTGTGGCTTAAAACCGATCTCAGCGGCATAGACGTATCCGCATATTATTCTTACCTTAATCGTTCTACTGAATTCCAGTATTCCCTCGTTCCTCTTCGCTCTGTTTTGATCAATTTCTGTCACTTGTGGCTGGTTTCGTCTTTATTTCATTATCTTTCATCTTAGTGAGTTCTTCAGTAGTTTGCTGATATGAGGTGTATCAGTTCGTATCGTTACTCAGTTATGCCAGGTTCTTGCTATATCTAACGAATGATTGCAATACACTTTTTTTCACTCAAATCAGTGAACCTAAAATAAGTCTCTGAAATAGATGTACCTACATACCGTTGATCATTTTGTCATATGGCCATTGCAGCACTGAGTAACAGGGGTTCAAGTCTCAGATGGAACATCAGTTCCGTTGAGTTTGCACGCCATCATCATCAAGATCAATATAGGACCAGGCATTACTGCGTGATGGTCCAAGTTGCCACACCTTATCTCATATCAGCACATCAAGTAACAAGGCAATTAAATGGAAGAGAAAGGAAGAAAAATTGGTTTGAGGAAGTAGAAGCAGAAATTAGTGAAAGAGAAGAAGGAAGAATGAGAAAATAACGAGATTCAGTGTAAGCGTTAAGATGAGGATAATGTGTATATACATCTGATCTACTGATATCCGTTCTGAGCCATACACCTACAGTCTCCAACCGCTGGTTCCTGTTTTCCTGAGGACGCCAATCACCTAGTGTGCATCACCCTAAATGGCTCAACCGAACAGGCAAGGATTTCATGCGTTGATGCCATGTTTTAGTCTCGCCACCCTGAACCTACTTTGGCCAACATTATATGATGAGGCAGGCTGTGGCTAGGCATGCGTAAAACACGTCCCAGCCATCTCAGTCGACGAAAGTTCACTACTATATCAACTGTCTTATCTCTCCTTCCTAAAACTCTACAGCTCACTTCTGCGTTACTCGCGTGGTGATACCACGAAGCACGGACTATGCTACGAAGGCAATGGTGATCAACCAGTTGAAGCCTTCTCATGTCTTCCACCTTTTATGGCCATATTTCACAGCTATACAGTAAAACAGAGTGGGCTGCAGCACAGAATACTTGACCGTTAATTGACAATCGGATATCGCAGCGGCGCTACAGATGACGTTAGTTAGCAAGCGCGAACCTAGCTTTTTGTATTCGTGTAGAGATTTCGTTGATCACTGACCAACACACTAAGGCTGATCCAACTTTCTAGGTTAGTGAAGCATTCAACGCACTCAACCACTACACTCTCTGTTGTTAGCCGGGGCATCGTGGAAGACCAATCCTGTAGCAACAATTTGCATTTGGGTGGTGACAAACGCATCCCAAACATTCTCAAGTTGGCACTACAGATGTCCACAAGACTGCACCTTGTCAGCGTCTTTACCTAACAGGGCTATGTCATTTGCATATTCTAGGTCTACCAAGGATTCTCCAGCGATTTGGTCAATCCCTGGGTAGATAGATGACCAGAGGGAAACTTGCTTAAGGAAGCCTGCAACAAAATTGAATAAGAGTCAAAAGAGTGAGCATCCTTAACCGAAACCACTCGACGTACTCAACTCCCCCGTAATTTCATCATAGGGGGAGATGCCTTAGTGACAAGTTCTAAACAAGCACGAAACGTTAGTGAAGCAGGGCTTCCTGCTGACTGTTTCCATCCAACTTATAAAACTGCATGATATTTATTTCCTTTACTTTTTTTTAACTTATTTGCAAAGTTTTCACTATCAACTAGGGCAATATAGTCAACTCAAACTTTAAAAGATCCAACCTGATTGCATTTCACTACTAATATAAATAAAATTCGGCAACTACATGCAAGTTCATGGAATAGGTGGTGTTCTGGTCCTAGCAACTATGCTAAAGCTACTGATGAAACTCTGTGTGCACATTAACAGGTTTTCGGTTGTGAATAAATCTAGAACTTTTTATTTTCCGATTATTTTTTGACTGATAAGGGTTACCTTGTAGTAGGATTCATCTATAATTTTTCTTCTTGAGTTTCGTATAGTTTTCTCAAAAAAAATATCTTCAGCTTTTCATATTACTTTTACAGATTATAATTTAAATCATATCAACAAGCTGAAACTTCACTCCAACATAATTTATTCTGATGAGAAATCTAATTTAACCACTACTACTTCTGCTCCTGGTATTAATACGGGCAATGGATTACAAAATCTTATCACTTCATGTAGTGTAGAGGATACTGCAAACAAAAACAATGATCATAGCAGCAGTCGTAACAGCAATACTAATGATAGTGGTGGTGGAACTGATGACTCATATTCTTCATCTAATGATGAAGATTCTGATGAACAGTCAGAAGACGATCATAACTATCCTCATAACGGACATAACTTATTATTGTCTACTCTGTCAATAATTAAACGTCCTTTTTTAAATTACCATCATCATCATCATCATCAAAATCCTCATTCTTTTTCATCAACTCATACTGTGCCTCCACTTCAAAATAGTCCTAGTAATCGTCCTTACTATTCTCATCATAACAGTATTGACATGACTAACAATAAACATTTACTGTTACAAAAATCCTCCGGTAAGTCATTTGATTCTTCCGATATGACTGACAATCAAGCAAATCATCTGTTGATGAACACTCCTAATATTGATAATGTACCGTTAACGCCAACCGTTCATATGGGCAGTAACAATCAAGATGAAATTATATCACAAGAAGATGGAAATATACAGTCTAAAAGCTCAACGGTTCAAAATGCATTGGATTTCCTTAATAAGTAAGTGTTTGATGTATGCAATTATATAACATCTACAAAGTTCATCTGTGACTTAAAATAGGTTGTATGCTTGTTAGTATATATATCATAGAAAAAATGTCGAGAAATGATAATAGAACGAGGAAACCAATTTTAACTGAATAGTATGAGTCCATTTTATATCAGGATTTCTCATCATCAATATCAACATTGGATCAGGCATTACTGCGTAACGGTCCTAGTCGCCACAGCTCTTATCAGTACATCCAGTAAAAAAGTAGTGAAGTGAAAGATGAAGAAAAGGAAATTCAGTCCAAAGAAACATAAAGTTCGAGAAGAAAGAAAGAAAGAATGAGAAAATGGTGAGATTCGGTACAACGTCGTTAAAATGAGGATAACGTGCAAGGGGATACGTCTGCGTCGCTGATGACATCGGTTCTGAGCCATATGATGAACTAGAGTTTGCAACTACTGGTTCCTCTTATCCCGCGGACCCCATCCAGCTAGTCTGGGTCTCCCCACATGGTTAGAACCAACAGTCGGCGACTTCATACATTGATGCCATGTTTTAGTCTGGCTGCCTCAGGCTATTTCCCAGCCTGAACCCACCTCAGCCAACATTGTGTGACGAGGCAATCGGTGACTAGGCAAAGTGTTAAGAAAACTACATTTTGTCAGCGTCTCCACCCAACAGGACTATATCATCTGCATATTCTTGGTCTAACGAAAATTCTACTACGATTAGGTCAACGTCTGTGTTGTCAGGTGACGAGAGAGAGACCTCCATAAGAATATATATCATAAAATTGAATAATGGGGACAGTGGCCATCCTTGACGGACACCACTCGATGAGCATAGCTCCCTGGACATCTCACCATAGGCTCTAACACTCCCACAAGTATTCTAGTAGAGAGCCTTCAATAGATTGATATACTTACTCAGCACGCCTTTCAGTGAGAGACATTGCCATAAGATTTCCCTATCAAGGGAGTCGAATTCCCCCTTCAGGTTGAGAAATACTGCAATTGTCGGGCGTCGGTAAGCATGTCTATGTTCCAGAGCCTGGTGCAGTACGAATATTTGGTCGATACACCCTCGACAGGGTCTATAGCCTGCCTGGTTTCCTCGAGCTTGTTGTTTCCGAGCTCCACTCAGACGTCGAAGAATTTTAAAACCTAAGATCTTGGATACTATGTTTTCGTCAGGCTGGGTCCTCTGTGGTTATGACAAGAGGACTTCTCGCCCTTCTTGAAGACTGGGATAAGCAATGATTCAGAGCATTCAGAGCGGATCGTATTTGATTCCCATAAACTAGTTAACACTCCCGTTAATCTGACAAAGAGCACCTTACCACCATCCTTTGTATACCTCAGGAGTTAGTCAATCTGGTCCTGCTGCCTTTCCTTGTTTCAGGTTACCTACCGCTTTCTCGACTTCTGTTAGTCTAACTCAATGTTCCACTCAGGGTCCTACTGGACAGCGAGTAACACAATGGTGGCTAGAGGCCAGTTAAACTGTTCATCGAAGTGTTCTGCTTATCGTTCCAGTCGTCTCCTCTGCGAGTGAATCGCAGATCCCTCTTCCGCTATTTCCTCACTAACCGCAGTTGACCTTTACTCCCAGTCTCCTTAGTAAGTCTAAATGACTATCTGCTGTTACCAATCGCCGCTGCCTTTTCCATCTCTTTAGCCTTCGCTGCCCACCATTGTTCGCGGTCGTTGCGTAAACTTTTTCTCAATCTAATTTTAAGTTGTGCTCGCTCTTCATTTCACTCAGAGCCTGCAGGGATGCGTTCATGTGAATCCATTAGTTCGGAAGAAGCTGCTAATATCCACTGGCCATTTTTATCGACTCTTTCTAAGTCGGCTAGGGTCTTCAGCACTGCTTTTACAGTAGATTGAAGATGGCACCAAGCTTCTTCTGGATGAGTGGTAGTCTTTTGTTCCGATAACTGCCTAACCAACTTCTCACTGAACACGGCATTGGTGTTTCCGTTGTCCAGCAACACTCGTAGTGGTCTTGTTGCCAAATTTTTCCTACGTCGATTGAGGCGCAGGCATATACGCGCTCGAACCAACGCTTGTTTGCTGTGCAAACATGTACTCCAGAAGGAGCGGCAGTCTTCCACCGATCCTCTCCAGCGGTGACTGATAGCAATGTGGTCTGTCTGTGTCCATCGCTGAGTTGAGCTCGGTAGACGCCACAACAGACAGTGTCCTTTTTATGTCTGAAATTTGTGCTAGCTAAAAATAAGCAGTTATCTGAACACAGTTGTAGTGGGCGATCGCCGTTATCTGTTCGTTCAGCCAGGACTCTGAAAGTGCCACCTAAGTGCTTTTCTGCTTAAGTTAGTCTACCCACTTGTGCGTTGGAATCACCTGCAACAACCGCCACGTCCGAAGGTTTGGCTTTCGAGAGGAGGCCAGATAGTTTTCGGTAAAACTCGTCCTTCTCTTCATCCGAAGTGAAGTCAGTGGGTGCGTAAGCAGAGATTACAAAGACACAATGGCGAGTTTCGTTATTCATTTAAGTTTGCACTATACCTTTCAGCCGGATGGTGCAGAGGTGACCATCAAGTGGTATCCAGTCTTGTAGTGAGTTTTCTACTCTGGTGCTTAATGCTATACCTGCACCTGCAGGACTGCGAGAGCTGGCTATCGAATCTCCAGGAACTTGGAGGGTGAATTTCGCGGATTCACCAGATTGGTCAGGAGAGGTCAGGTGAATAAGCGTATTTGGATCCTGTATGCGTGTTTCACAAATACAGCACATATCCATGTTTCGAGTTGCTAGAGTCTTTGTCAATGAAGTGTGTTGGCCAATTTTATGGAGGGTGCGGAGATTGAAGGCTCAAATTTGTAATTTGTAGAGTGGTTTAAGGAGACCAGGGATGCTGTTCTGTGAACTTAGATCGTTGTCAAAGGCTGCAGAACTAGGAGAAATTAAAGATGATGTAGTATCGTTAATTGAGAGACGTGAAGGAAGATTAGAATGTAATGAGGAGTTAGGTGGATAGCAGTCCGAGGAAACTTGAGTGCTGACAGTTGTGAGGGTGATTGAAATTTCCCAGCTGCCCACACCATGGAAGGCTATTTCTTCTTAAGGTACTTGAAAGAGATTTGTGAGACCGCATAGCCCATCGGATATGTGCTTGAGGCCTGTCACATGCAGCTTTTTGTGTATTTTTGTTTTGGGGCCGAATGGTCGAAAACAGACGACAAATGAACCAAAAGCGCTGACCCGGCACACCATGGGGTATGGTGAAGTGTGTTATTTTTGGGCTCGACTGTTTTCTAACCCCCCTCCCCCCTTCCACTGGGAAGGCAGCATCAGTGTGACACTGCTGGTCATCGAAGGGAAACATCTTAGTGCTGTCACACTCCACCTAGCTAACAGCAGTACGACTTCGCCCTCAGACCCCCATCATAGTGTAGTAATTTACACCACAACGGCAACTGCTTTTGTCCAACCACCATCTAACGCACCTTTCTGGTATGATAAGACCTCGAGGGTACAAATGTTCCACCAGCATATATAGTTGAGTCATTATGGTATGCAAGCCCGACCATCACATCATGGTATAGCAGCTATCGGTCGAGGGATTTCTCATCAGCTGTTTACAGACTAAAACGAAGTGTTTGCAGCTTGAATTCCTTCAGGCCGATTATTTTCAAAGATGGAGTCATAAAGTGTCTTCATACTTTTGAGGATAATCTTCCATGAGTCATTTTTTCAGTTTTTAAATTATAGTAGACTAAAGGTGAAAGATCAACGTAGGAGGCGAGTGAGTGTATGGATGTGTGAATATGGTGTGATTTCATTTAAACGTTGTTGAGTGAAGATAAGGTGAAACAAAAAATATGAATATCAATCAGATAAAATGTAATATGATAGATATTAAGAGACGTGAAATAGGTGTAAGAAAATAAAATGGACTGAAATAGGATAAAATAAGAATAAGGAAGATATGGTCAGAATAGATAAGCTAGGTACAGGGTAGTGAAGGGGATAGTACGAACTTTCTGTATACAAAGTTCTGGTCTAAGATTATATATCGCCAAGGCCCCCCTGTAATACACATTAGATGGATGCGTACAACTTTTTGTTAAGTTTGATTTGATCTTGTAAATAATGTCAAACAATCATTTGAACGCCTCATAGTTGTAGCCAACTATATGTTAAAGGACTAATGAATTTATACCTCTACGTTCTGTTTTGCCCACCCATACTAGTAGACGCTCTCGAATGCGACGGTAAATGTTTCTTGATAAAAGTTTTATTTACCTAACTCGACAATAACAGGTGAACAATGTAAAGATACACATTGAACTAAACAACCGAGATAACATTTCTTTGGCATTAAAATAAACTGAAAGGCGGCTGGAATAAGTAAGTTTTAGAGATCCGGCATAGAATGTTTTTCCTATCGATCTTGTTAGACGGTTCTTAAGGATTTCATCTGCAACATCACCTCTAAATTCTGCATTAATACCAGATTTTTATCGGCATAGTTGTTATGTTGAAATATTTATTTTTGATCTGTCTACTGTTACTCTCTATAAAATATGATAGACGTCAGTTTTCTATGAAGTTTTGTTTCAATAAATTTAGCTTATCCTCTACACTATATGCTGTACAGATATTTTCTATGTGTCATGAGAGAGAGAGAACGAACCAAATTTATTTTTCTTTGTTTGAGAATAAACCTATAGAAACTTGTTAGTTGCTCATCCCACTAATCTCCTAATAAATTGATTCTGTTATATTAGTATTAAAACTGTTTTTGTTATCAGCAGCTAATGAGATGCCTTGAATTGAAATGGATCCATGCTGCTAAAAACTGTTGCCCTCACTTTATTCAAATGTATTCAGAGAACGAGGTGTTGTCTGTTATTTCTATTACTCTTGTTAGTTTCCAACATGTCTCTACTATCTTAACCATCTTACACGTTTCAAAAAGATACTCAGTAATTAATAACAGGAATCACATCAGTTATCGTAGTTTACAAGTCTTCTAAAAACCGACGTTTCGTTAAAAAAAAAAGTAGTTTTCATATGTTTGCATTGAAAGAAATCGAATGAAATTTAACCTAGTGAATATAACGGTCGAGAGTATGATTCACCTTTGTCACCCAGTTTATCATGTGGAGACGTTCTAAAATACAGAACGAAGTGATGAAAATGTTATAAACATCTAGTCTATAGTTGTTACTAATGTCCTGTAAGAGATTAAGCATTAGGTCAGATGTAATCAGTATATAAGTTTGAATATATTCTCAGTGTGTTTAGGAGACAAAGCAAGGTTTTTCTCAACGTTTCTCTGCTTTCATAAAAAAATACAAATATTCTGCCGAATAGGCTGTGGCATACACAATGAAACATTCAAAAGGATCTTGTTTAGATCTTCTAAACATGGGTATGTATTAAAGCCTATTCATATAATACGGGCCACGGCGAGATTCGAACCAGTGACCATCGACTTTACGGCTCGGTGCTCTACCAACTAAACTACGAGACCCTACTACCGTCCAGATTTTTATTTCCCTTCAATCACCAAGGGTTTCCCCCGATTGCTTTGTGAATTCGTGACCCGCCGTGAATTTACATTTCATTTCGCTTCCCACCATCACCCAGTATCGATTCTAGTATGCCATATCACACGGTCATCCCACACGACCCAAGTCTACAATCAGAAACTTCATTGATTGGTTTCATGTCTTGATCTAGCCACCCTGAACCGTCTTTCAACATAATCCAGCTTCTCCTAGCATGGCACGTCAAAGAAGGCGGTAACTTGACATGCACATTACATGTTCGAGCCACTCCAGTTGATGAATGTTCACAACCTCATCAATCGACCTGCCAGTCTTGCCTAGTCCCCTTCGCCTGATATCAACATTACTCACACGATGATCCCACCAAACGCGAGCAATGTTACGAAGACATCTGTAGTTAGAACCCTGTAATCACATACTTTCAATGACCATGTCTCATAGTAGTATAACGGGACAGAGTGGAATGCAGTGCAATATACTCGTCCTTTAACGGGTAGTCAGATACCTCTTCAGTCAGCGCCACAGATGTAGGTAGTGGAAGAATGTCAAACAGGCCCTCTTTATCCGAGCTGAGATCTCGTAAGCGACTAACCCGTTCGGGTTGGTCCAAATTCCCTACTAAGTGGTATGGTCGTCACATTCCCCCATTTCACTCCCTTTTCTTAGTTTCATGATCCACTGATTTTAATACATCCTAGTAATTGATATACTCGACTTCAATCGTTTTTATGAAAAGTAACAGCTTAATCAACATATATCTGAAGTAACATTAGGAGACTAAATCAGCAACCAACTTACTGGTTTTCGCATTACAGTGTGAATCATTCTTATTGTCTGATGGTTTGTTTCGCTAATCGGTTGTCCTAGATCTTGTGTCTAAAGGTTTAGAACATATTATCCATTGTTCATAAACGTTGGATGCTTAAACGCTTAAACAACAACTGGTATTAACACCTTCGCTCGATTGGGTCCTGTATACTACTGGAAGTGCGCGGGCGGTTGACACCCGGTTGTCTATGCCATGGAAGGTCATTTCTTCTTAGGGTACCTGAAAGAGAAAAAGATTTGTGTGACCGCAGAGCCAATGGGACATGTGCTTAAGGTCTGTCACACACAGCTTTTTGTGGGTTTTTGTTTGCAGGTTTGTTTGTTCTAACGCCGGATAGAGGGGACCCATACTGTTGGCACCGGGAGACCGTGAAGCGCGTTATTTTTGAGACCAACGTTTTCTAACCCCACCCCCTCCCGTTGGGAAGGGAGCATCAGCGTGACACTGCTGGTCCTTCAAGGGAAACACCCTACTACTGTCACATTCCATCCAGCTAGCAGCAGCACAACTTCGCCATCGTAGCATAGTAAATTACACTACAACAGTAACTGCTTTCCGTCTAACCAATACCCAACAGATCATCCTGGCATGGTAGGACCTCGAGGGGGGAAGCGTTCCACCAGAGTAGCTCGTCGAGTCATTGCAGTATGCAAGTCCGACCACCATGTCTTGGTGACAGCTATTAGTGGGGATACTCATTTATGAGTTTTGGCACTAATTTGTAGGATAAATCTCTGAATTTTCATGATATGCACATTTATATTTCAAATTATTTTTTTACCAAATAGGTCCACATCAGATTTCATAAATCTTATCAATGTGAATCGACCACTGTTAGGTTGGCGTTCATTTCTTCCAAGTCTTTCAACAAATCCAACTCCACAACAAGGAAGGCGTGCTACCAATACAAGTTGTTTCATAGGTCCACCAGATGTGACAGGTTTTCATCCTCATGAAGACTATTACGAACAACAACAGTATCATAATTTTCATTATTACCAACAACAGTATCAACCACAAAGTGAACTTATCCCTCGTGTATCATGGTCTAAACTTGGCAACAATTCAGCTTTCAATGTTCCATCTAATGAGCATGTTTCATCGACTACTAGTCATAAAATATCAAACTCTCCGTATTTTATGAATACAACCAATGGAGGTCAGTTCAGTGTAAATTATCAAGATTATTATACCCGAGGTTACGGTTATCCGCATACTAATCAATCTTCATCGGTGAATGATATTTCATCTGAAGGTGTTCAGTTAAATGATGATCGTGGACATAATCATCCAGGTAAAATACTTTATACTCATGTAATTTTTTCAAGAAAGATGTCGAAGTCAAGTAACATGTGGCGGTTGTCTGGTTTTTTTTCTTGTTGAGTGTTACTCTTCAATACTGCTGATATCTTATAAATCTACTCAGTGAATATATTTGGGTATATGTGCGACATTTGAGATTCAATGAGAACTTTACCACAGTCACCAAAGGTGTTTTGCCTCCGACCCCAATCATACTACTTTTCCAGCCACTAAGTTGTATTACCTCTCAGACCCCACTCAAAGGGATTGTAGTGCACTTGGCTTTCAACCAACGAGTTTTGGGTCCAAACCACTTTCGACCTAGTTCAGCTCAGGCATCGTGGTCGTATCATTAGCCCTCATACAATTAGTGTAGTTCATAAGCTAATGAGTAAACACGTTTGCCGGGTTGGTCAATACTAATATTTACTTTTGTTTAGTGCAGATGCTGAACCAATGCAATTGTTGTGATTCCCTCAACTTCACATCACTTACTGATCGATCAGCTTCAGCTTCAGCTACTTCTTCGAATCAGTCTCCTTGTTATCAAACGTTGGATAGTATTGAGGCCACTGAAACGATATACCTAACTCGTATCCAATCCATTAAACCACTTATTTCAAGTTTATATGCTGATGAATGATGATCACCACCATAACTTGAAACGTATCGTTGGACCTCATAAACACTAGGTGTACACGATGTTCCTACCAGAAATGAGCGGTCTTTCAAATCCATTCCCCTCACATTGAAGAAGTCATGTATCGCGAGCATAGAATAGGATTTCTCACATCGAAGCACTGTACATACAACCTTTTACGGTTAGATAAACATCATAACGGCACCAAAGCTAGTGCAGATTGGAAGTATTATCTATCAGGCATCTGTTAGCACTGGTATACAGACCTTACTTAACAAACAGTTCATCATGAAAGGCGACTTTAGCTACAAACTTATGCCAACTACCACATTGATACCAAGTAATTTTTAATATTTTTAAATGTTGTGAAACTTGTGTTTGTCATTATTAAACAGATTGGATGCCAATACTACGAATATACTAGTAGTAATGAATAACTACGCTTGGTACTATATTAAACTTTGCCTCTCCATTTATTTTTATTTAGCTGATCCTGTGAGTGAACTAAAGTCCCTGAAAGATATGTGGGTCAAGATTGCTGGCCCCTTGCTTGTTGGCGATCCTAAGCGTCGTATGTCACCAGCCAACATGCGTACAATACTCTTACAACAACAACAATATACATTCAACGGTGTCCTGTCACCACTATCAGCAGCAGTATCAACGTCATCAGTAGCAGTGGATGAAAATGTTTTGTCTCAGATGCCAAGTGTTACTCATCTTGGATTATCAGGTGGAGGTACTGCGTGTAGTAGTAGTGGTATTAACTATCCCTCTTCACTAGGTTCAACATCACCTAGTGTAATACAATTGTATAAATCCCCTGATTCCTGTGTTTACGGTGAGTTTCGTTCAATGATTTCCTCCTGTTTTTACTGTACTCTGTTGAAAACATTCCTAAGGTGTTTTTTTTATTTATTAATGATGGTTAGTGGCTGGCGGTGGAATCCAGGACGCGCCTTTTCTTCCTATTTGAGACTAGTCAGCTGGATGTACCTGCCTTCCACTGAGCGATATTGTTCCTGCTAAGACTCGAAGCATATGGACTCCTGTATGAAACCCATTAAAGACCGGTCATTTCGGTCCAATCAACAGCGAGATAATACAAGTGATAACATTATAGTGTTTTTTGTTTGTTTCAGAATCCAAGGCACATATTTTGCCTTTTATAGCGGTCGAAGGACGAATAGTAAGAATCTCAGACAAGCCATATCAGCCGTATCATTTTATTTCTTTTAAAAGACATTGTAACTAAGTCTTATTTTACAGTAGTATTTATTTTACATAGCTCATTGCGAACACGATTCAGTGCTTCTTTACCCACCTTTATGTTATTGATAGTTGCGAAGTAATTGCACATGAAGTGGAACTGTGACTCTGTGGTTTAAGGAGATGACTATTAATCACTGGGTCACGGGTTCGAACACCACTCCAACTATCAAGGTGTGAGCAGCTAGTTAGTGTTAGTAGCCCTCACACAATAAGTGTGGCTTAGTGCCTACTGCATGGGTGTGCACAAGGTAATTGAGTGCGTTTCCTTCCCTTATCTCCTAAGTGAAGTGAAACTAGTTATTTCATTTATATAAATTATTTTATGTTCTGATGCATAATTCAGTTGTACATCTGCATTACTTGGATATCAGAACAGAATTTGGGGGGTTTTGGGAATTCAGTAATTTTTCAAGTTGGTATTCACTATGGACTGACATCAGCTGGAGGAACATTTGAAACCTGAGAGCACTGGACAACTGTTTCGTCCTAGTATGGGACTCCTCAAATACTCAAAGATGACATTGGGTGATGGTCACGCTATGTCATGAACTAACGGAAGTTGGAAATATGAACCACTGGATTCCGGCTCAGTGGGTCGATGGTAACGTGCTGGCCGTTGGACCTGAAGGTTCTGTCTTTAATCCTTGGTGGGGCAGGATCATGGATGCGTGCTTTTGAGGAGTCTAATACTAGGACGAAACAGCCGTCCAGTGCTCCTACGTTTTCAATGTCCCCCATACTCATGTCAGTCCATGATGAATACCAACTTGGAAATATCAGAACAAGATTATTGAGCATACGCTTTTGTTTACCGTGGTATGGAGAAAGCGGGTAAAAGACTGATAGTTAAGCGATTGCAAATATCTCGTCTGCTTTCAGTTTGTATGATGACTCATAGCTGCGGATAAAGCGTAGGCAAGTGCAGCAATATTCGGATAGGGACGCGTGTGCAGGAGTCAGAATCATGTGAGGCAAGTTATATCATTTCATTTGCCGTTACAATAGTATTTTATTTGGAACATAGCAGCTGTATATAGGTATATCCCAGCACTCGGTGTTTCATGCCCTAGAGCTTTACTCACTTGGTTATCAATTTCTGACTGTCGACTGTTAATTAACAGGTATGTTTTCTAGTTTTGCAGGAGAAACGTGAATATACACTCACTTGGTAATGCCTAGCAGAGGAATCCAAGATGCTCATTTCTTTCTATTAAGGGCTCATCAGTTAAATGTACACCTGCACCTCAGTGAGCGATAGTGTGCAAATGCCCCAATATTGTCTATGGATTCATTCAAATATAGTTCGCTTAGTAATAGCTAGCAGTGAATTTAGGAACATCCAGCTGACGACGTTCCAAATGGCATGGAACGTGCATCTTTGTTCTCAATGGTAACCAACACGAAGCAAATTATATCCCAATGAATTTCGAGGTCTCCACACAAGAGCCTATATGCTAACATGGTTCATGCACTTGAAATTATATTACTAGCTGTGATCACAAACAGTTTCAAGAGATATAAACAAGGACAGCTGCAAGACATCCACAAAAGATATTTATTTACATTTGGTCTTATGAGCAACACGAAGACATATATAGCTCCAAATAACTTTCGAAATTATGTTTTGAAAGATTTTGTCAGTCTAATGGTAATAATAGTAATATTAGTAGTAATACTTATAATGATATTATCCCATCTCATATTTGGTCGTTTCTGGGGTTGTTTAAGCCCCAGGATTATTTATACTTTTCTGTTACTCTATAGACACATCAGCTACATTGACAACGATAACAGCTCCGGATTGTATTGATGAAACAAATTTAAACTCAGGTGGTCAATCATCAATTATCAATGCTTCTGATCTATCCTCCTCAGTTTCTGTAACACCAACAGGTCACTCGTCGTATATTCGTCATCAGTCATGTACTAGTCATAATAGTCCAAATCACGAAGTGTTATCTTCAGCATCATCATTGTCTTCCACACCGACAACTATCACGACCAGTGCTAACATGACGACATCAACAACCACAACGACAGTAACCGTAAGTGATCTACTTTCCAACGGTGGTATTGATCGTATTTCACACTTGAATGTCTTCATAACAACTTGTTCAACATGCCCTAAATGTAAACATTATGTTTATGATGAAGAGATAATGGATGGTTGGTCAACCGATGAAGAAGATTGTAGAACACATTGTCCATTTTGTAAGAATAATTTCATACCGCAATTATCAATCAGAATTTTTGGTGATACTAGTAGTGGATATAGTCAATCGATACGATTTCAACAGCACCAGAAACAGCAACAACAATCCAGACAACAGAATTTATCGTCTATGTCTCAGTCATCAAATAATTTATCGTCTGCATGTGCTGCTAATTCGAATGAGTCACTGCCATTTTTGAAACCGCAGCCTGTAACACCACCTCATAATACCACGTAAGTTTACTTTGTCAATTTTTCTCTTCTCTTTCGTTGACACTAGTCAAGTTTTTTACTGAAAGTTAAAGATCATCCAGTTGAAGAATAGTTCATTGCTTATTATTGACTAAATGTAAAGTAGACTTGCCAAAATCTTTGCAGAAACCGCTGGTTTGTTAGGTTCCACCAAGTCGAGGCCGCAGATGGATGTTTTTCAGTGACACTAGATGTTACTAGTGCTATGTTATAAACTGAATAAATTGCGAAAATGTCCAGTAGCTGGATCGTAATATGCTCATTATGAAGAATAATGTTTTTAAACGAAACGAAAACGTACTCAGCAATCTTGTGCACATTTGTGCAGTAAACAATCAGCTACACCCTATTGTGTTAGGGCTAGTGATACTACTACTTGATTGTCCCAACCTCAGTAGGTGAAGCGAGGCTGGAACCTGTGACCCATTGCCTGGAATTCATCTCCCTAGACCAATGATCCACAATTTCACAATCCATGATGAAGACTAAAATGAGAATTATGTGGTGGTGGTGGTGGATAGATTTACTGTTACTCTCCTGAATTCTGGTATTATCCTAGTCGTCTAAAATGGTAATAACGGGTCCAAAAACAATAAATCATCTTATTTCATTACAATCAAGTTTTGTGGTTAATACTTTCGCCGTGAATTTTGACAGTGTGTTATTCAAATTCATAGACGGATGCTACTTAGTTTCCCTGGCGAAATCATTGAGTCTCATACCTAGAACGAAATAGCTATCCAGTGCTGTCAGGTTTTAAATGGTTCTCTAACTGATATCAGCCCTTGGTGAATACTAATGTGGAACCAATAAATTCCTACAAACCTCCAAATCGGAAAAAATGAAAAAAAATTCTCTACTGATACTTTTGGACTTGATTTTCACATAACAGCCTATTCTGTTATTAATTTACCGTTCTCATATGTCATCACTTTGATATAGTTTTTAAGCTTTCTCACTACTGTGTTTGTACGGGTGATTTTTACTAAAGGCCACCCTAACAACTAATGAGACAGCCAATTACATTCGTCTATTTTGTACAGAAGTACTTTTCCAGGCGAAATGCTAAAGGTTGATTGATCATTTCACTTATTGCTAAGGCGGCCCCTAAAGTCACTTGTTTGTCTGGACATGACTCAGTAGTCTTGATACCATTAGCTTTCAACCACTGAGATCCAGATTCTTTCGAACCTAATCCATTCAATCAACATAGGACCAGGCATTACTGCGTAACGGTCCTAGTCGTCACAGCTCATATCAATGCATTGAGTAAAAGGCAGGGAAGTAGAAAATGAAGAAAAGGAAATTCAGTCAAAAGAAATATAAAGTACAAGAAGAAAGAAAGGAAGAATGAGAAAATGGTGAGATTCGGTACAACGTCGTTAAAATGAGGATAATGTGCAAGGGGATACGTCTGCACCGCTGACGACATCGGTTCTGAGCCATATGATGAACTAGAGTTTGCAACCACTGGTTCCTCTTATCCCGCGGACCCCATCCAGCTAGTCTGGGTCTCCCCACATGGTTAGAACCAACAGTCGGCGACTTCATACATTGATACCCTAACCCTAACCCAGCCTGAACCTACTTTCGGCCAACATTGTGTGACGAGGCATACGGCGACTAGGCATACGTAACACGTTTCCCAGGAAGCCATCTCAGTCGATGAAGGTTCACAGCCATGTCAACTGATTTACCTCTTCTCCGTAAAACTCCTATACCTGACTTCTGCGTTACTCACGTGGTGACACCATGGAATACGACCTATACTACGAAGGTAACGGTGGTCAAACAGTTGAAGCCTTCCTATGTCTTCCACTTTCAATGGCTATGTTTCACAGCCATAGAGTAGAGCAGAGCGGACGGTTGTGCAGTACATGCGACCCTTAATAGACAATCGGGTATCACGGCGGCGTCAGTGGTGGCGTAAGTTGTCAAAAGCCAGCTGAGTATTTTGTATTCGTGCGGAGATTTCGTCGGCCACTTAGCCATGAGGGCTGATCCTACTTCCCAGGTAAGTGAAGTGGTCGACACACTCAACCACTACACTCTTTATTGTTAGCCGAGGCACCGTTGAAGACCAATCATGGAGAATTTAACAGTTGAATTTAGCTTATTTTCAGCTTTAGATAAATTATTTTATAAAAATGATATGACAGGAGTGTTCCTTTGATTTTTCCCACGGCTGCTAGATCAGCTTTCCTAATTGTTTTCGCTTCTTGTCTAATCATCTGCTGTCTTTCTACATCTTTCGATTATCTGATTCTCTTTTTTTTCTTCGTTCTTTCGATTACTTTATATTTTGTTATCATGACAGGAGAAGCAACAAATTGCACTTTTTTGCAGTAGTCCCGTGGCCAATGTTGTTTTTGTTTGGTTAACTGTAATATATGTGCTTCTGATTTACTGTAGCCAGAAACTCCAACTGTTTCTCTACACAATGCAGATAAAACACCAGTAAAACCGTAGATTCGTATCATCCTTTGCTTTGATCATCTTTAGTTTTCCTGTTTGTTAACTCTTCTTTAAACAATATCGTACTTTATAGTAAGTGGTGTATAGATTGGTTAAATAATGAACTTATAAAGTTCTTCACTGAATATATATTACTTCGAATTGCTCTCCTGAATTTGTTTCAATCATTCATATGTTAACAAAGCGTAGTATGTGTTTTCATGCATTTAAAATTATCGTTTTGCAAGTTGACAGTAGTATTACGAGAAAACGCCATAGTTAGTTGGCACTTAGCCTCTAAGCTCATAACAATCCATAGATAGTTACCACTCGGATAATTAGCTCGAACTTCAGATATTCATGTTCGTTGAATGAGTCCCCATCACGTATGTCCCCTCCCCTCCGCCCCACTTCTGTCCCACAGACTTGAGGATAGCCTAATAACAACTGACTATTATTATTATTATTATTATTATTAGTCCCTTGGGTTCCTAATGGAACATAGGGCTTCAGTAGCACGCCTCCAGTGACCTCTGTTCTCTGAGATCTTTTGAACCTGGTCCCACGACAGCCCACAAGCTCTCATTTCTTCCTCGCACGATCTCCTCCATGTCACCCTCACCTCGGACACACAACTCGTCGCTCCCCATGGGGATTTGACTCGAACAACTGGCCTGACGCGTGATGTCCTCAGTCGGCCTTCGCAGTGTATGCCCAATCTATCTCCACTTCCTCCTGGATATTTGTTCAGCGATAGGTTCTTGCTTCGTTGGTTCGTTCCCAGAGCTCCTCGTTGCTTTTTCTTGTTATTCTGGCCATCTGATCTTCAGTATCGAGCCAGCGTAAGCACTCGTTGGTGAATGTCTGTAGTTTATTGGAAATGCCTTCCGTGACGCGCCAAGTCTCTCAACCATATAGAAGCACTGACTTGACTAGGTTGGTGTTGAAAATCCGGATCTTGTTCACGCTTCGTGCTGAGTGCAGATCTCCACACTGATTTCAGGCTAATGAACGCCTGTCTTGCTTTTCCGATTCTGACTTTGACGTCCTCGTCTATGCCTGTGTCGCCTGTAGTTGAAACAGTGCTGCCTGGGTAGGTGAAGGAGGTACTTCGTTTAAGTTTCTTCCGTTGATGGTGACTGGAGTTTGTTGTTGTTGTTGTTGTTGGTGGTGCGGTATCTTCATCACCTCTGTCTTCTCTATATTCACTTGAAGTCTGGTCTTGGCTGCCCTGCTCTACCTCTTCTGCCAACCTGTTAGTTTTCGCCTGTAGATCTTCATGTTTGTGTGACATCAGGCACAAGTCACCACTGGCGAATTCCAAGTCTTCTAGGTTATTTTCCGCAGTCCAGCCAGCGTATCCCCCTCTCCTCACAACTTCCCACTGTTTGCTGCATGATCCAGTCCAGTTGACCACAATCAGGAATATCATGGGGGATAGTAGGCAACCTTGTTTCACTCCTGTCTTCACTTCACTTCAAAAGCATCACTGAGCTTCCCATTGTGAATTACTTGGCATGTGGCATCTTCATATAGTTGTTGAATGAGGCTGATAACGGTTTGCGGTATTCTGTAGTATTGAAGCAGTTTCCAAATTACCCCTCGGTCGACGATGTCAAAGGCCTTCTCAAAGTCGATGAAGTTGAGGTAGAGAGCTGATTGCCATTCTATGCCCTGTTCTATGATGATGCGTAGCGCTGCAATTTGGTCCGTGCATGACTTGTACTTCCTGAAGCCTGCCTGTTCCAGTCGTAGTTTTGAATCTAGCGCATCCTTTAGCCTCTCCAGGATGATTTGGCTTAATATTTTGCTTTGGGTGGAGAGGAGAGTGATTCCGTGCCAGTTCTTGCAAACACTGAGGTCTCCCTTCTTCGGGAGTTTGACAAGGTAACACTTCTTCCAATCAATGGCTAGGTACCTTCTCTTCCTTCCAGACCTTCTGCAATAATGGTGTGAGCATGTCCTATACTGTTGTCTCTGCGTCTGTTCTCAGTGCTTCTGGCGGGATCCCATCTGGTCCTGCTGCTTTGAAGTTTGTTTAGCGGTTAGGTTTGTTTTACGGGGTAGGGTTGCTAGCCCTATGCCCAACCTTCCCTCTTTACCCGGGCTTAGGACCGGCTAGTAACTAGTGAACTAGTTAACCAGGCGAGGTTAACAACTGACTATTACATCCTATTAATTAGATGTCATAACCATTTTATTTCAAAATAATTTTCAAGAGATAAATTTGTTGGAAGTATTACATTCTGGAAATCCCATATTGTGTCGCACATACCGTCTTCAAAAGATTATTATTACTATCAGTATCATTACAATGACTTTATACATTATTCTACTTTGAATACTGTATATCATGCACTTCGAATTTTGTTTACTTTTTGCTGGCACTTGAAAGCCTCATCGTTTTGTTTTTTGCTTTCCTTTTCCTTGTTTCTCCTATCCGGTTCGCCCTGTGACACATTACTTCTCCTGCTTTGCAATCTGTCAGTGTGGGTCTAATGGAAATAACTGTAGGTCTTTTTTATCATAAATTTTGGATGTTCATGAATTTTATCTTTTATTTCTGTATGTTTTCATCGTTAGCTTTGTCGTTGTCTAAGATGCCATTAACTGCTAGTAAACATCGTATTTGTATGATGTCCAGTTCCATAGGATTATTCGAAAGTTGTTCTGGGTAGCTGACATATAGATATGAAAGGTATCAGTCCTTTTGAGTTGAACTAAAGCATTTCTGCATGTTATGGAGTTATCTTTTTAACAATCCTAATCCGTGAATCTTCAGTCACACCTTAACAGTAATGTAGAATAACTACAGTGATCCAAGAGACATCACATAGATTTCCTGTCAACTCTATTTGTTCGTATCTTTTAATCTTCTGAACAATATTGAATGGATAGTTATTGGAATGTAACACAGGTTTTGTATATCTCACCTTTATTTGTATGCCTTCGCTGTTTGTGGTGAATATTGTTGACCTCTTGAATAGTATGCGTCAATTTTATTTACATACAAATAGATATAGATGATACATCCATCATAAAAAGTTTATCTCTGAGTACTTTTGCTAAATCAATGAACACTTGTTTTTCCCATATCATATCCACTTGGGAAATTGAACGCCAGCCAAACTGTTGTATATCTTATTTGATAAATGGGAGAACTGCTTCTGTACAGCAATTAACTTGTATCGTATGTTTTTCTGTTACAAGGATTATTATTTTTCCCCGTGGGTTCCTAGTAGAACATAGGGCTTCAGTAGCACTCCTCGATTGCACTCTGTTCTCTGCAGTCCTTTAAACTTGGGGCTACGACTGCCCACAAGTTTTCATTTCTTCCTCACATCATCTCCTACATGTCACCCTCACCTCGGATGCCCAACTCGTCGTTTCCCCTTAGCATTCCACTCGACGGCATGGTGCGTGATGTCCCCAGTCGGTATTCTCATTGTATGCCCAATCCATCTTCTCTTCCTTCTGGATATTTGTTGGGTAACAGGTTCTTGGTTGGTGCGTTGCCAGAGTTCCTTGTTGCTTATTCTTTCTCATCTGATCTTCAGCATCGAGTGAGCGTAGACGGCAGCTATTGATGAGTGTCTGTAGTTTGTTGGAAATGCTTTTTGTAACACGCCAAGTTTCTGAACCATATAGAAGCATTGACTTGACGTTGGTGTTGAAAATCCGGATATTGTTCATGCTTTATGCTGAGTGCAGTAGATCTCCACACTGATTTCAGATTAGTGCAAGAAGGTCTGTCTTGCTTTTCCGATCCTGGTTTTGACATCCTCGTCTGTGCCGCCTGTAGTTGAAACGATGCTACCTAGATAAATGAAAGAGGCTACTTTCTTTAGGTTTCTCCTGTTGGTGGTGATTGAAGCTTGTTGTTGATGCTGTTGTTGGTTGGGTATCTTCATCACCGTCTTTCCTATACTCACTTGAAGTCCCGTTTTCACTACCTCTTCTGTAAACCTGTTATTTTTCGCCTGTAGATCTTCGAGTTTGTGCGACATTAAACAGAAATCATCTGCAAAATCCAAATCTTCTATGGTCTTCTCATCGGTCCAGATAGCGTATGCCCATCTTCTCGCTCCTCACAGTTTACTGCATGATCCTTGTGCTTAGAAGTTTCTTTAGCGATTTGATTGGTTTTACGGTGTAGGGTTGCTAGCCCTACGTCCAACCTTCACTCTTTATCTGGGTTTAGGACAGGTTAGTAACTAGTGAACTAGTTAACCAAGAGGGTTTGGTACAAGGGTAACTGGTTATTAATGATGGATAGTGACTAACAAAGGAATCCAGGATGAGTGTTTCATTTTTTATTGGTTTCTTTAGTTGCATGTTTGTGACTACTACTGAGTGATGTTGTTCCCACTAAGACTCTAACTCCCGAACCGATGACTTCGAATGTCAAGACCTTATCCACTGAGTCACGACGGCCATTTGCTGTGTGACGGATATAGCATATTTTTTATATTAGTGAGTTGATCAGCAAAATAATGATAACTCGTTTTAGTAGTATTGTATTGAAAGTTACCTATGAGAATGGTTGCGCATTTAAACCTCTTGTCAATGTCGATTGTTATAATGAAATGAAAACTGTCTGATGCTCTGCTGAATTTCTCATCGGTATAAGTAGCTTCATTACTTAGATATGACTGGTGTTTGTAACCCATACTACAATTATTTTTTGAGTGATAATTCATTCATTCATAATTCATAATTCGTTCATAATTCCCATCGTGATACCAAAAACAAGGTATTCAGCGAAGAGGACTGTTTTCACCGCATTTATTCTCAAGCTGTACATTCGTATATATATATATATATATATATATATATATATATAAAGACTAATCCATGAGGAAGACTTAACTGAAATAATGGGGGTTGAAATAATAATAATAATGGTGGTTATAATACTAATCTTCTTAGTCGATGACGTAAAGGTCGGATGATAACAAAAAGGGTTACGTAAAATTTTTAAATCGTTTATATGGTGTATATAGACTTAATGTGGGTGAAAACGTGATAGAGTTAGTAAACAGTCAAAGGATTAGGTAATATGAATGAGAATTGAAAATGTTTTGTCAACAGTCACGATTATTAGAAAGATCAAATGAAGTAACACCGGAAACAGTTAAATATAAAGACAAAGTGATAGTCATGATATCAGAGTTCAAAGATGAATCTGATCAAAAGAGTGGGGGGGTTAAAAACAAAACAGGAACGAAGCACACCATGACTAAAATAAGTTAAGGTCAAGGTAGAGACAAAGACTGTACATACTTCTTTTGCACACAAACATCAGGCTTCAGTTCTTGGATAGTCGAGCCGAACACGGAGGAAACGTGAGATGTTTGAGCGAATTCGATAGACAACCTTAAAATCATTGTTTGGGTCGGTTGAATGGTGTGAATTGATTAAAAATGCTTAAGGATAGAACTTCTGATGCATTTCATTTCTCCCTTATAAAGCCAGACAGGAATCTTATTTAAGTTAAATCTTCCTCACAAATTACAGTCTTTCAATATCGTATATATACGAATGTATAGCTCCAGTTTGTTGTATTAGCATAACTTATTTTTGGTGGACACCATGATGCATCATACTAGTCATTGTCGTTCACGTAGTATTTTGCATATATATATATACATATATACTTCTTATATACATCACATTCTTTGATGTGTTTCTTTCGTATGTTTTTCTGTATAGTATTCCTACTTGAGTCCATTTGTAATAAGAAAATCCTTAGAAAATATCATCCAGCGTGAAGGAGATGAATGCCTACGCTGTCAGTCTGCTCAACATTCTTTGCTCAATCGTTATCCTCAGTTAACATGGAATTTAGTCTGGCTGATACATCGTTTAGGCTTGCCAACGCATTTACTGGATGCTTTGCCAACGTGGTTAATAAATTGTCAAACAGAACAACGTATGAAACTCAAAACCTCCCAGGGGAATCCATCTCATCAGTACCAACACCAACATGCTTGTAATAAACAAGTGAAGAGTATTAATTCTACTATATGTACTGATTCATTTTATGTAAGTTAATGCTATACTCGTGTTATTTTTGAATATATTATTTTCGTGGCTTTGGCAACTTCGTTTGTGTATGTATGTGATGTCCCAGTTATCTGTTTGTAAGTAGACATCATAGTTCGTCATTATGCACTTTGCAAAAGACTTGGTTTGGTGACATTGATTCTGTTGTCAAACCAGACATCATTATCATCATGATCGCAATTTGGCTTTATCGAGTTATGCATATCGTGAAATTCTTCCAGGAGCAAATCATACTAATCAAGTTGAAAGGATATAATTCACAGTTGATTCTTACTAATTGATAGTTGTTGGTTAGTCGAAATAGAATATCACAGAGAAGTGCATTAGTTTAAGTTGTCACATCTCAACAGCAGCATTCGAAGAGGAAGTGGATTGAAAAGGTAATATCGAAGTAAACAAAAGTGTATGACAGTTGAGAGAATGAATAGATGAAAAGTAATAAAATGCTCTTGACTGGGAAGATGTTGTTTGTACATCTGCACCATTATAACTGATTTTCAACTTTGTCAAAAAGTGTTTCGAGCCATTGATTACACCTTTTTCGAAGACCCCAACCAGGCAGTCTACACTTCCTTACACCGCTTGGGCCAGTAGTTGAAGGTTTCTTGAACTTATTCCACGTCTTAATCTAGTTACTGTTAGCATTCATTGAACCTAATACCTACTTCGGCTAACACCGCCTACTGAGATAGACAATGATTTGGTATGGGCAACCCATGTCACGCCATTCATCTAAAACTACTGGCATCATCGTTCTGCTCTACGCTTAATCTCTCCATTTCTCATGTAGCGGTTCCACGATATCCAGGTACTACTACAAATACACCTTTGGTCGAAAACGTGTAATCTCTTCACATCTACTTTTCGAAGCCGTATGTTTCGTCTGTATGGTGTAACGCATCAGATGTTTGTATGGTGTAATAGATAGTTGGATATCTCGTCAACGCCATAGATCTTGTACTTTGGCAATTACTAAACAAACATCCTGTATCCGGAATGAAATGTCGTCATCAATTAGACCAATAAGATTGATATGCAACTCCCCAAATAAGTTCATTGGTCGACACGGTCCACTACTTCACTCCATATTATTTAAGTGGTGTGGTTGATACAGTCCAGTCCCGTGGCGTTGGTGAGATACTCGGTTGTCTATCCGTTGTCTTGTTGTACGGCTGTGAGACATGGCCGTTAAAAATCGAAGACATAAACTGGTTACAGGGTTACAGGGTTCCGATCATAGTTGTCTTCGTAGTAGTGCTGTCATTGTGTGGAATCACCATGTGAACAATGTTGAGGTCAGAGATGAAGGACACTGGGTAAGAAAGGCAAGTCGATTGATGAGGTTGTCAATCTTCGACTGAGATGGCATGGACATGTACTACGTTTACCAAGCCACCACCTACCTCGACGTGCCATGCTAGATGAAGTTGGATTAGGATGAAAAAGGGTTAGGGTGGCCAGACCAAAACCATGTGGGACGATATAGACTGCTGACTTGGGGTCCCCGAGATGAAAAGGATCATTAGTAGAGGACACTTAGTGACATGGCTGAAAATCCGTCGCAATGCCAAAGTTGTGTTCACTTCCTGACATCTTAAGCTTGAATATTCACACTAGCCTTTATCTTCAAATTGTTTGTTCTATCATACTACTTTATCAACTTTCCTATCATTCATTTTCTATCCACCTGTTCTTTGTGTACTTCTGTGAAGTGAGGTAACTTGAACCGATACACTTGTGTTCGAAGTTCTACATTAATTTTTTCATTGTCTGTAAGTCAGTCTAGTCGTGTAGTATCATCTAATATTTGCTAGATGTGATAGAAGCCTTCATCAACGCTTACTTCATGTAACAAGTGAACGCATTTTTAGGGTGCATGAACGACTATAAGTTTGTTCCTCTGCATAAATTCAGTACTAACCAGTGTTTTGAACTTACAAATTTACTTTTTTTGATTTCAGTGTCGAACTAAATGAAGATATGATATCTAATCACAAAAAACAACAACAAAAAAGCTTACTCACTTTTTATTCTTTGTTTTGAGTGCTTTTTCGTTCTACTTTATATTCAAAATATGAACTGACGTAAACAGAGTGTGTCTAGATTTACTTTTCAAGTATTTGTATATCAATTGAGTAATTCATGTGTCACATATACATATATCATTGCATGATTTATTGCTGTTTAGTTGGACAGTTATTGAGAATCAGAGAAAGTTGTAAACGATCCATACCATAGAGTAGACAGCTCTGATGAACTGACACCGATGGCCCATAATTGTTGATCTAACTGAGATATTGGAGTCAAACTAGTCTCAATTTCTGTTTTTCCTAGTTTTTAGCAAAGGTTGGAAATCTTCCTGTGATGACGACTGATAAATTAAACTAACCAACATAGTGTCCACGATTCTCAGTTCTAAAATTATCTCGCATGTAACAGAAGCTTAGGAATAGTATACACGAAAAAAGTTAGATGATTTCAAACCTGATATTGTGTGTGTCGTACAGATCTTCACTCTCCGAAAAATCTTGGGATACATTGTTTCTCATTGATACAGATACCCGAAGAAATTTGTGTACTATGACAATTTCTACAGAACAAATAATCAAAGTAGGAAGTATACTTTGATGTGCTTAACAGTCTATTTGAACTCTTTTCTTCATTACTTTGCTGACTGAGGAAAGGACATTTTAGAACAGACACAATAATAGTGTCTAAAAAGTATTTCTGGGAAATTCATTGAATGAAACAACATCATCATCTGATGATACTACACTTTTGAAGAACATAAGTTTGGATACTTGGTGATAGTTGAAGGTGGAATGAAAATTTGGACCGCGGTGGGATTCGAACTAGCAACCACTGGGTTTTCGACCTGATGCTGTAACAACTGAGCTTCGAGACCCGAATGCTGATAGATTTTTATTTCACTTCAATCACCCAGGGTTTTGCTTGACTACAATTTGAATTCATAACGCGTTTCTACCGCTTGATTGTACTCACACTGGCTACCTAGTCAGGACTTTTCATCCGAATCCAGATCTAACTGAATTAGAGAGGAGGAGCGTCATATTAACTACCATTTTGACTATCTAAGATACCCGCGGTTTGGTAGTATCAATACTAGTCTGCCAAGCCATGGCCATCTCAGACATTCTAAATGATAACCTAGGTTTTCTTTATGTTATGGGGTGTAGCTTAAAATCAACACTATTTTTTCATTGTCCTCGGTCTAAGAATATGCTTGGTTTATTGTCCCGGTTCTACTCCCTTGCGACTTGTTTCCACTTGCAATGTAAATTTAACTTCTTTCTCCAGTAGGAACTCCAAATGGTGGTTACCAGTCCTGAGACAATCTGAAGTCATTCATCCAATGAATTCTTAAGTCTTTTTAACAATTATAAAACACTAATGAATTAAAATGTTTGAGTGTCATATAGTATTATTATATGTTTGGTATTGTACTTCTTATTGTTGAATTGTCAGAAGTATAGTGATTATTCTCTGCCTGTTGACACATCAGCTTCTTGAGCATTGTCGATGTCTCGACAACCTCCTTTTGCTTAGAAGAAGTATATTTCATAAGCTTATTTCACGAATGGGTAGATACATACGCTTATGTTTCAGTAAATTTTAATGTCCCCACGGTGAGTGAGACTCCAGCACCTATAGAAGAAAACAGTAATGCTGAGTTACAGACGGCCACTGTTGATTACTTGATGAGTGTTGACTGTTATTGCTTCCACCAACGGTCATTGACAGTCAATCTATATCCTTATGGGACATGGCATTACTGCTCAACGGTCCAAGTTGCCACACCTTATACGCGTCCATCAAGGCAGAAGGCACTAAGATGAAAAATAAATAAATAAGGAAGAAAGTAGTCAAAAAATGGTAGTTGTCGACGGAGAACATGAAGGAATGTAAAAATAATGAAATGCAACATGACGATTAAGTTAAAGATGCATCAACGCCATTGAGTCTCTAACCACTGGTTTCAGTTGTCATATAGACCCCTAACCGGGAAATCAACTCGCCTCAAGCCAGCAGTCAAGACATCATGCAATGATACCATGTTTAAGGTTCTTTGCCTCTACCATTTTTCCAGCCTAAACGTTAGTTCTGTTAACTATGTATGCTCTACGAAGTAGACGATGACTGACTAGGCATTCATAACAACACTTGCCCCTTCTACCTAAAATTCCATACCTGATTTCTTAACTAGGCCAGTGGTTCTACAGTACACAGCTTTTACTACAAAGGCAATCGTGGTCGAACTCCTGAAGCTTTATCACGTCCTTCACTTTCGATGACTATGTTTCACAGCCATATAGTATAACAGATTGAACGACTGGATAGTACACTCGACTGTTATTACACAACCGGATATTTTGCAAAAGGCATAGGTAACAACAGTGACAACAGTCAAACTGAGTCTTTTATATCTATCCAGAGGTTCTATCAGTGACTGACCTATCAAAGTTGCTCTGACTTCCTAGGTACATGAAGTGATCAATGCACTCATCCACTTCATTCCCTCTCGTTAGATTAAGCATTAGTCATTGATACATTTTCTGCTTCTTCATATTGTCAATTACAGCCCATATAGTTTAATATAAATTTCTATAGTTCGAGTCTACAAAGATTCAGAATTCTCATGTATATCAGTGAAGACTTCATAAAAAATATTTGGCTTTTTTAGTGTTATGCTATTATAAAAGTTCATCTATGAAACATTTGACAGTAATATTTTGCTTTAACCAAATACCTATAATGCATCAGTATGAATATTTATTCAATTTTCATATCCTGCATTACTTTTGTTTATTCTTGCATGTTTTGCTCAATCATCAACTTATTTCGGTGTATATTTCTCCTTTTTTTCTGACACATTACAGAATAGAAACATCTGTATTGATATGTTAGAAAGCTTTATGTATCTATACGCGTATACTTATCATTTTGGTGGTGAATGAGATGAGATGGGGCATGTCAAGCAAACTATTATTCATTGCATATCAATACATATAAATTATGTGTTTATTTTTATCTCCAAAGTTTTCCTTCTTATTTCTTTTCCTTTTTTTTCATAGCAAGTAAATTTATCGCCTAATTTACCTGTATACATATCACTACGTTGGAATGCAGCACATCCTGTACGCAGTGTAATGAGAAATCCACTTTATAAATATTGGCCTAGTTATAAGCAACCAGGTAATAATATGTTATATTTTTGCGTTGACTACTGGTTGTGAGTTTTTTTTCCTAATGACTGAACCATTCATTTGGATGATTTGTAAGTAGATGACTGATAAACTGACTAGTCTCAGGATGCTAGCTGATATAGCTGTCAATCAGGTGTTGAATACTCATCACTGATGATCAAAGTGTGTTCATCAAGTTCGAAAGGTCGCCAAAAAGCTGTGTATTGTCAGACTGAGGTGCATCGTATCCTGGGTCTAGACATCAAGAGTTAATCAACACACAGTCATAGGTTTCGTGCCTGTTAGCCATTTGTCACTAACCTTTGTCTACAATCTTGATCCCTAGTGGGGTTATGAATTTGCACCGTTGACGAGTCCCATACTTGGATGAAACAGCTGTTCAATGAGCCCAGGTTTCCAACGTCTCTCTAACTGATATCAGTCCATCATGAATACCAACTTGAAATCAATAAATTCTCACAAAAAGAAACTGAAAATTCATCTTGCCTAGAAGTTTTGAACCTGCTTCATTCAGTGATGAAGTCAGAGGTCTTACTACCATTCAAGTCATAATTAGCTAACTGTTGAAGAACTGTAAACTTAGATGAAACATCTTTTCAGTGCTGTCTTATTTTCAGTCTGTAATGAACTAAAATTGTTCTTTTGAGGATATGAATAATTCAAAGCCACTTTTTCGTTTAAAACTAATTTCAATCAAGGAAAGTGTATGTACTATGCTGAATTTACGCTCCGTTGTTGAATGCCGCTCTTGTTCACTGGAAAGCAGATACATTCAGCTAAAGAGTTCAAACATGATGAAGGGCACAGTCTAAGCCCTACTATTGCTCACCAAAGGTAATTTAAATACTATCCACAGTAAGACCAAGGAATTCTCACCAGTGTTCCAGTAAATCAACAACGGGAAGATAACGGATTCCGTTGATTTTCATAGGTGCACTCAAATTTCGCATACTGCAAAATGTCCTACCAACAGATGCTGCATAGACGTGGCGGTCGGGATTGTACTTCACAATGACACAACAAGCTATGCTGACCGAGGTCCTAACATACCAGGATGATCTGTTGGATAGTGGTGAGACGAAAAGCAGTTACCGTCGTAGAGTAATTTAATACACTATGATGGGGGTCTGTAGTCGGAGTCGAACTTCTGGTAGCTGGCTGAGGTGTAACAGCAGTAAGGTTTCCCACTTGGATGACCGGCAGTGTCACATTGATACTGCCTTCCCTATGGAAAGTGTGGGGGTCGAAAAGGTTACCTTCGAAAATAAAACACTCACTTCCTCAGGGTATACCGATACCTGCAACAGAGATTCATAGTCGGATTCAAAAGCAAAAGGCTGTATGTGACTGGCCTGAAGTAGATATCCTTTGAGATCTGCGGCCACACACTATCTTTTTTTCTCTAGGTACCTCAACAAGAACTAGCCTTCCATGGTGTGAGCAGTCCGAAAGTGTCAACCGCCCTCAAAATGTCGAAATATACCTATTTATATTCATGAATAAAAAGAACAAGATTTTCATCGGTAAAGAAATATTTCTTTTCAATCAGTTCATTATTGAGCCGTACCGTATTTATAATCGACAAAACGTCAGATAAATGTACAAAAAAAAGCTGCCCAGCCAATATACACATTATACAGTTGGCGTTGGTGGTAGAATTTCTCCAAGTGGAAGAAGTAATAAATAAGTCATTGAATAAGAAACAAATTGATTTCAAGTGGTGAAATAAGGATCAATTGCTGTCAGAAAAGTGTAAAATGATGATAATGATGCCAATTAAGCTGAAGCATACAAAGTGAATTGAAATGAAATTGACAGACTACCCGAAATGACACTTGTGATTTCCTGTTTCTTTTTTATCGGGTCGAAATGTCTAACCTCTATTGGCAGATGGGCTTCTATACAGATGGAGGTATCGATATTGCCTGGATATTTGTGATGAAAATTGGGAAAGATAAAGAACAACTGACAGCTGTTGTACATAAGGTGGCTCCTATGTCCTAGTATGTAACGCTTTGGATTTTGAAGCGGTGAATACTGTGTTGAAGTCTCAGTAGAAACAACATCACTCCTCACTGGAGTGCAAGTGTACATCCAGCTAATGAACCCCAAACACAACGAAAGTGCGTCCTAGATTTTGCTACTAACCACCGAGTAGACCACAAACTAACCGAAATGAGTTGTTGAGTCCAAGTTAAAGAAAGGGGTTTCGCAAAACGCTTTTAAATGCATAGTTTCGGCTTTTGTCGATGTATAGCTAGTGCTTCAGTTATGCATAAGTGGTTGAAACGTGGACTTTTGGAGTAGTTAAATTTAACTCTATAAATTACCTTAAATGATGAATCTTGAGGAGCTGAATGACGTAACTGCACTAGGTGTTCACATATTGATGAAGTTGTTTTTCTTCGCTCACTTTCAGTTAACCAAATCGGGTAGTGTTGTGAAACACATTTTCGGAGGGCCCACTTACAACGTCTAATATAATCAGCTCCACTAAAGTACGTGAATTTGTAGATATACATAGATGTGGACATAAGCAGAAACCTATCCTTCACGCCTTGTCGAATTAGGCGACGACTGGAGAATACCAACCTCAGTCTAACAGAATAAAAGGTACTATTGATACACATTTCGGTAGACGGCTCATCTGTGGCCATCCCCTTGTAAATGGGGTTATTATCTCGTTAAGCATCGATTTCCTTACCAAAACTCAAATTTACCCTACTCATCGCAACTGCTTCAACACTACGGAATACTACAAACCTTTATCAATCTCATTCAGTAACTATATGAAGACGCCACATGCCAAGTGATTCACAGTAGGAAGCTCAGTGATGCTTTCGAAGTGAAGACAGAAGTAAAACAAGGCTGCCTACTATCACCCATGATATTCCTGATTGTAGTGGACTGGATTATGCAACAAATAGTGAGGAGCGGGAAGCGGGGCATACTCTGGACCGATGAATAGATCCTAGAAGATTTGGATTTCGCCGATGACTTGTGTCTGATTTCGCACAAACTTGAAGATCTACAGGTGAAAACTGACAAGTTGACAGAAGAGGTAGAGCATGGCAGCTAAGACGGGACTTCAAGTGAATATAGAGAAGATAGAGGTGATGAAGATACCCAACGAACAACAACAACAAGCTTCAATCACCATCAATGGGAGAAACTTGAAGGAAGTAGCCTCTTTCACCTACCTAGACAGCACTGTTTCAACTACAGGCGACACAGGCATAGACGAGGATGTCCAAGTCAGAATCGGAAAAGCAAGACAGGCGTTCATTAACCTGAAACCAGATCTGCACTCAGCACGAAGCGTGAACAAGATCCGGATTTTCAACACCAACGTCGTCAGTGCTTCTCTGTGATGGTTCAGAGACTTGGCACGTTACGAAAGGGATTTCCAACAAACTGAAGACATTCATCAGCAACTGCCTACGCTGGCTCGTTACTAAAGCTCAGATGACCAGAAAGAATAACCAACAAGGAACTCTGGCTACGAACCAATCAAGAACCTATCGCCCAACAGATATGCAGAAGAAGAAAGTGAAGATGGATTGAGCATGCACTGAGAAGACCATTTGGAGATATCACGCTCCAGGTCAGGTACTCGAGTGGAACCCATATGGGAAATGGTGAGTTGTGCTTCCCAGCTGAGGGTGACATGAAGGAGATCGTGTGAGGATGAAATGAGAGCTTGTGGGCTGTCGTGGAGCCAGATTGAAAAGATTTCAGAGAACAGAATGCACTGAAGATGTGCTACTGAAGCTTTATGTTCCATTAGGAACCCAACGGACAAATTATAATAATAATAATCGTTCATTGATATGTCAGGTGTTATAATCTGTCCACTAAGCTTAAATATGTATTACGATATAATTTAACTGAACCTTATATACTGTATAAATCTATTCCAATTAAGGCACGCAAACACACTTCACACTTTTATATTGAGATGTTCAACCGTTTAGATGTATAACTCCCAAATGGTTGGATTATTTATTCAATCCCCACACTGCTTACTTTTGTCTGGATTGTTTGATACAAACCTTAATCGTAAATGAGGTTGCTCTCACCTATGTGACTGACTACATAAAACTGTGTGTGTGTGTATGTGTCTACTAGTTCGCATTGTTTAATCTTGGTGAATGTATACTTTAATATTTTGTTGTCATAAGCTAGCTTGTAGAGACTATGTAATAATGTTTTGTGTTTTTCTTTATCCATCACAGATCCAAAATCACCTTGGTCATTGGTACCAATGAGTCCACAAGAAACCGTATTGCAACACATGAATAGCTATCATCATAATAATAATCTTCATCATAAAGTGTACTTGAACAGTAATCCTGCCATTTCATTAGCATGTTGTCCAATTCATGCAGCTACTTGGCACTTAATTGATGCTATACGTAGAGATCAAATGCGATATGCTGTAGATTTCCTCCTACAAATACGTGGACATATACAATGTAATGCAGAATTACCGTTAACCATTAAACAGTCATTTACACCTCTTATATCGTCATCAATGACTCAACTAGTTTCAGATCAGGTGGATGGTGGGGAAATAAAGTCAACTACTGTTAAAAATCTGCAAACTTCACAGACACAAACACTCCAACGACGACAGCAACAACAAGAACAGTCTACACAAACAATAGACAGTAGGGTGACAAGGAATAGAAATCAACGACCTCTGTGTGGTGATATCAAAAGCTGTGCAGCATGCTTAGAAGATTCACTCTACCGAGAATTATTGTTTCTAGCTATACAAGCATTGTCTCGTATGTCACTTGATTTAAGTAAGTTGCACAAGGTTATTTTCTCTACTGTTGTTCTCTTTGTTGTCGTTGTTGTTTTTCGTACACTTTTAAAGTCAGGTGAAGAGTACTAGGCAAGATGGGCAAGTCGATTGATGAGGTTGTGAACCTTCATCGGCTAAAATGGCTTCGATATACGTTGCCAATGCCGAACTAAGGCTTACCTCGACGTGCTATGCTAAGGAAAGTTAGATTAGGTTGGACCAGGATTCAGGGTGACAAGACTAAGATGTGACAGCAGTCGATGAAATCCCTGATTATTGACCTGAGCCATGTAAGAGGTAGACTTTCTGGTTGTGGTCTCCAACACGATAGGAATGAGTTATTGAGGAGTCTTGGTGAGATGGCCGGAACTCGGTGACAATTTCACTATTTAATATCATGAATATTCAAACTAACCTTTGTCTACTTTGTTAGCATTCTTTTTCTATCCACCTCTTTCTATACTATTATAAAGCATGGCAAGTTAAACTGATGCACTTGTCTGCAAGATTCTACTTTAATATTGTCTGTTCTGTCTGTCTGTTTTCATACATGTAAGTGTCATTCCACACTAAAGTGACTAGATGGGTGTTATCAGCGAGAATATACGTTACAGACAAGCCCTAATACAATGCCAAATAATCAATCATGTAGGTGGTAAATTGATACCAGGGGGTTGGAATCAATTATGTATGCCAAAGAGTCACCGATTCCAACGCTGACCAAGATAATGTCTCCAAGTTTTTCTTTCCCTTCCATAATACAGGCTGCTAAAGGCGAATGGTATTTCAAGTAGTTGGTGTCTGGTAGCCTTTGGTAAATTAATGGGGACATGGTTAATGATAGAGAATGATTGATTCATACTTGTTTTATGATCTGTTTGAACCAGTTAAGCTAACATCAAGCTGATTGGAGCTGTAACTCATTGGTTTAGAGAGATGACTTCTAATCAATGGGTCACGGTTTCAAACATCGCTCCACCTACCGAGGTTTGGGCAGCCGGGTGGCAAGTATCATTAGTCGTCACACACAATAGGTGTAGCTGATTGTCTACTGCACGAATGTACAGAAGGTTGCTGAGTGCACCCCATTTATTTGTATTTCTCACTACACCTTTACTTAGGCATTCTGGGAAGGTACTCACGAGCACGAAAAATTAAATTCCTACAACCAGCCAACATAACTGAACTTCACAGGAGCAGTCGAATTGATAAACTCAACCAGAAGTAGCTAACCCATGTATCTGATCTTTCAGCTTTGATAACATAACTAGGAGTGTAGAGTATACAAGGTGCAATTTTTCTGCATTAAACGTTTATTGGATAAATCTTCGAAGCTCCTGAATTAATATCTCACATACTCCTTCCGCCGTAAATTGTATTTACATTCAAAGCCGTTTCTTACTCATAATCGATGCATATTTCTTCTCTACTTTCGTCGTCGTGTGCTTTCTTATGAACTTGTGTTGTTCAAGATTTTCAACTTACCATTAGTCGTATCCGTCTAACATATGTCTTTCTCTGTAACTAAGTGTCTTCATTAGATTTTATTTACACTGAAGAGAAACGAAGCTAAGGTAGTGTGTATATCGACCCGTCCATGTTTTTTCTTATGTAAGTTCTTCTTCAATCACTTGTTCTTTATTCTTGAAAGAAGAACGTCCAAAGAGGCTATTTTATTCTCTGATTCCTCCTCATATGTGAACTACTTTATGGTTGAATATGCAGGAAAATTTCCATCGAAGCCACAGAGATATTTGTACAATTTTCGTAGTGGTGTGTATTAAATATGGCTCAACTTGAAGTACTGTCTCTAGGTGTTCAATTCTCTGATGGACACAATCTCATCCGCCACATAAATATGAACACTCATTTTTTTAAAATCTTGAACTGAAATACTTTAAATGTCGTCTAGCTGACTGTTGTTATCAATATAAGAGCAGCAAGTGTATATGTAGAAGCATTCTAACAAAAAACAGGGGAAGGCTGCTAGCAAACTTATAAGCAACAAACCTGATAAGAAAAACGGGACTAGTTCTCCACAATAAAAGGGAGTATGAAGGCCAGATGGATCAAAATTCCAAGAATTGAGGAACTAAAAGGACTTAAACATCAAGAGAGAGAATAAATTGACCGGATCTTTAAAGAAACTAAGAGAGCAGCGGATAATCACCTCTGGTTTATAAAATAAGATCAAGCCTATAGGCATATACATGCTTAAAATACATGAAGTAGGGCTAATATAAGAACCGATTGATGATAAGCTTAACTCACCTTACTATGGAGCGAAGTGGCGTGTATCTGGAAATCGTTATATGAACGGATGCCCAAATAATGTGAAAGGCGTTTTTGTATTCGTGGACAAAGGAAAAGATGTCAACATCAAAGACTAAAACTATGATATCATTGGATGTACGATCTTTATTTACAAATATCTTGGTTAATGGCAACAGTGAACTACAATATTGAGGGCAGGTGAACGTGAAAGCGCTGAATGTTGTAACTCTAGTGTACGTCCTTAAAAAATTACTGTTCAAATGTATTATGAACGTTAACTTCAAATTTATGGAGGGATTTTACAAGCAACTGTACTAAGTCACAACAGGCTCGCTACTGCATCATGTATTAGTAGATATCTTCATTAGCCACTAGGTCTTCATTCATTATAAGTTTCAAGTTGTTATTCATCGTAGACTGACATCAGTTGGAGGAACAAAGGAAGCCTGGGAGCACTGGACAGCTATTTCGTCCTAGTATGGGACTCCTCAACAGTGCGCACCCACGACCCCACCAGCAGGGATCGAACCTGCGACCTTCAGGTTCCGTGGCCAGCGCGTTACCATTGAGCCACTGGGTCAGAATCCGATGCTCCATATTTCCAACTTCTGTTAGCTCACGATATATAGCGCAACCGCCACCCAATGTCATCGCTGAGTATCTGTTCTCATGGCCATCAGGCTTTGACTCCACCGGTCACGACTTACAAGTTTATCAATAGCCTTCCTCTGGTTTTTCGTTAGAATGCTTCTATATCTACATTTGCTGCTCTTATATCGATAACAACAGTCAGCTAAATGTCATTTAAAGTATTTCAGTTCAAGATTTTAAAAAGTAAGTGTCCATGTTTGCGTGACTGATGCTATCGCATTCATCACAGAATTAAGGGCCTAGAGACAGTACTTCAAGTTGAGCCACATTTAATATACACACCACTACGAAAATTGTACAAACACCGCTGTATATATACATGTATTAGTCACTGGAGGGTAACCAACTTCATATTGTCTAGTCGCAAGCGCTGATCGAATTCTGTCGACCATTTTTGCAATGCGGCCACCATTCTAGGCTACTGAGCATCACAATGAACTTCTGGTAGATGTTAATTGGATAGACGCAATCTGCAGGAAGTTTTGGATTCAGGTTTCGTGCTTGTTTCCACTTTTAAGCAAGGCGTATCTGCAACCATATTGGAACTGATGTCCTGTCTAAGATTGGGACTTGTGTCACCCCGTTTTGCAGTCAGAAACTTTACCACTGATCTATTTGGTCTATACTTTTGGAGGATAATATCGAGGGAGAGTTGAAAATCTTGTACAGCACACTAACTGAAAATGGTTATCCAGGTTAGTTCATAAAAAAAACAGACGACGATAGAAGTGTAAAAGAAATATATACAGTTTTCCCACTAATTTACCACAAGCTATAAGACACCGATTACTTGAAATTGCAAAAGCTGTAGCCATTCCGCTTAAACCGCCTTAATTATCAGTGTAAAAGAAACAAATACATACATTACCGCTTATTATAGTAACGGTGGATAGTGGCTAACAGTGGGATCCGGGATGCGCATTTCGTCCTATTTGGGACTCGTCAGCTGGATGTACCTGCCTCCCAGTGAGTGACGTTGTTTCCACCGGGATTCGGACTAGGACTGCACTAGATTCCACTGCTAGCCACTATCCATCATTACTATATGATTTAAACAGGCAATGTCGAGGCATCCGCACAGAAGCCTATATGCCAATAGAGACCCATCAGTTCGGTCCAATCAACGATGGTATAATACAAACAATTATACTAAAACTATACCCGTCGCACATGAAGTGGCTATCGTGGCTCGGTGGCTCTGGCGTTTGAAGTGATCGTTCCTGAGTCCGAATCCCGGTGTGAACAACATCACTCACTGGGAGGCAGGTAAATCCAGTTGACGAGTCCCAAATAAGACGAAATGCGCATCCTGGATTCTACTGCTAGCCACTATCATTACTATATATAATTAAAACACAGGTAATATCGAGGCATCCGCACAGGAGCCCATATGCCAATAGAGACCGATCAATTCTATCCAATCAACGATGGTATAATACAAGCAATTATACTGTTGCTACTTATTGCCTTGGTCAGCTTTGGAATTGGTAACTCTGGCATGCATAATTGATTTTGACAAACCAGAATCACTCCTAAGGAGTCCCATACTAGGACGAAACGGCTGTCCAGTGCTTCCAGGTTTCCCATGTTCCTCCGACTTATTTTAGTCCATGATGAATTTCAACCTAAAGGCAGAATCATTATATCACCTATATGACGGATTATTGTAAATTTTATTAACGGTTGACTGCAGTGTAATTCATTTATTGTCTGATTTGAACAATATAGAATTATACCTATAGATCCTTATTAAAGAAATTTTTGAAAAGAATATTCTATTGTTGCCTTTGTTATTTTTCCATGTATCTGTGTGTAACACTTCAGCCTCAAACCAGGATTTCGACTCGCTTAATCTGTCTTAGATCTACCATCAAGTTGGATAATGCTTGTTCTTCATTCTTTCTAACTGAGAGTTTTAGTGCCAACCAAGTTCACAGATTTACTTACATTCACTTTGTTGCATCTTTTTATTCATTAGTTTAATCTCAATGTACATATCGAATAACTCTTCAGCGAACTGTATTTTCCCCTTCTTAAGCATAGATTTTTGAGGAATAGATACTCAATTTTCTTTAATATCTCTTACCTTACACAAACACTTATACCCAGTTCGTAAGAAGTAACCTTTGTAACTCATATTAGCCTACTATCTATTACTCTACTGTTTACAGTTCAATAATAATAATAATAATAAAAATGACAAAGCTTTATTCCATTTATATGTTGTTGCACATGAGTCGGAGAGAAAAGTTCACTTAAGTTTGGTAGTTGAGCTACATTCATCCAATAATAAAATTTGCTGTTCCAGCTACATGTTCTTGTAATAGCTATATGAGATGCAGTGTTATACGTTCAGAGGCTAACTGCTGTCTCGTAGTCTTAACCCATCTAAGTTGATGATATTTTGAAAGTGTGGGAGAGTATGTTTTACGATTAGTTTACAATTTGAATGTTCAAAACAAATAAAAAGGAAGGAATTCGGGGAAATATTTTTGGTAGCCTAAAATTTAAGTGAGCCGTCAAATCTTAGTGAATACATAAACTCATAAAAATATAGACACGTGTAGCTTACAATTTTCAAACAGAATAAAGTTGTTTTTTTTGAGATGAATGGGGATTTTTAATTTAGAAGTAGTATTCATCATGGACTGATATCAGTTGGGGAAGAATTGAAAATCTGGGAGCACTAGACAGTTGTTTCGTCCAACTAGTAGGGGACTCCTGAGCACTACGCACCCACGACCCGGCTAGGGATCGAACTCAGGACCTTCAGGGTTTCACGGCGAATGCGTTAACCATTCAGCCGCTGGGTTGGTTTTCAGTGGTTCACAATTTCCAACTTCTGTCCCAGTGGCTGAATGATTAACGCTTTCGCCGTGAAACCTGAAGGTCCTGAGTTCGATCCCTAGCCGGGTAGTGGGTGTGTAGTGCTCAGGAGTCCCATACTAGGACGAAACAGTTGCCCAGTGCTCCCAGATTTTCAATTCTTCCCCAACTCTTGTCAGTCCACAATGAATACTACTTCTAGAATAAAGTGTGTTTTAATAGTCTTGCCGTCATCAAATGATATAAACGCAAAACTGTTTATGACCAATACAATCATATCTACTAAAAACAATACAGTGCATTAAATTGTCCGCGAATTTATTAAATTCTATATATCAGTAAATAGATCAACAAGGGTTGACATTAGCTTGAGAATTGGCAGTGGAAACCAGGAGGTGCTTTCAGTTTTGAGCAATTCAATGCAGTTGAACAGCAGAAAATTATATATATAATGAGGGTTGGTATCGTTATGATACTTGTAGTTTCCTTTTGCTATGCAGGGTTGGATTGCTCAACTTCTGTTGGCAGATAGGCTCCTATGCAGATGCCTGATGCTGCTGACTATTCGTGATGTTTTATCGATCTAGGTGACTAGCAGAGGAATCCAGAATGTGCATTTCGTCCTATTTGGAACTCATCAGCTGGATGTACCTGCACCCCAGTGAGTGATCTTGTTCCCACTGAGGCTTGAACTCAATACCCTTAACTTCAAACGTCAGAGCGTTATCTATCCACTGAGACACATTGGTCACCTCTTGAGCATTGGGTATCAGTTGTTGTTACGACACTTGTAATTTCCCTTTGTTATACACATACACACGTATCCCAGTGGATAACACTGGCATTTGAAGCGAAGAGTAGTGGATTCAAGCCTCAAGGGGAACAATATCACTCACTGAGGTGCAGGTTCATTTAGTTGACAAGTCCCGAATACGACGAAACGCACGTCGTAGATTCCTTCGCTAGTCACCGAAAGCAGCCTAATATTAAGAGGGTTGGTATTATTTAATTAGGCGCATCTTCCATCTCGAGTGAACGGATGCTTATGATTGCGTTCAAACCTTTGCTTTTCCGTCTCTTGGGCGTATTTCTTTCAAGATGTTGAATATACGGTTGACACTCTACGATGAATACCATATGTTGCCAAAGTTCAATAACTATGGTAACTATGTGATATTTCGAATCTGGAAATCTATATGTGAGCATAGTTTAATTTGTTGACGACGAAATTTTCTTTTCTTGTTATTTTTTGTATCTTTTTGACTTCATCTTTTTATATACATATAGTATCATTTGATGAACAGTATAGTCAAGTGTATCGAGCACTCAGAAGTTCTGGTCCTACCTTACTTACCGACTTCGACTTACCACCAACTCCTACTGCTTCTGCTTGTCGTCAAATGTTACGTCCACTAACACTGAGACCCTGAACTGTTGATGTTAACCTTTCAAAAACACATATGTATATGAGTCTTTTCACCATCTGTTTTCCCTACATCCCTTACAATGATATCCGTATACATATATTCACTTATTTATACTGACTTTTGTCCAATTTTGCTGGCTGTGAAAGGAAACCTATCTATCAGCGTTATTCAAAAGAAATCGCATATCCTTATTATTACTATTATTGGTACTATTGTTATTATTATTGTCTACTGGTACTTACCATCACTACTATTATTGTTATCACTCGTATTTCCAGATATCTATTTCAAGACTGAGTCGTGTATGTATTTACTATATGCGTGTCATCAACTGATTACCACAACCTCAACGCCTCTCCTTGCTTTACAAAATGCACCACACCTATGTGTATCATTTGATTGATAATTATTTCCTGCCTATATCAGTCAACTTATACATATAGTCTTAACTGATTCCCCCTTATCTCTTATTCCTTTCTTTTTGTTAATGTTGTTATCCTTTTGTTTCATTCTGCATTATTTGTCTCTTTTTGTGCAACCAATCGTTTTTGTGTATGTTTTTCACATTGAGTTTTTTTTTCTTTTTTTTCGAGCTTATTTATTTGTAACACAATAAACCTCTTGTGTAATATTGTTACCAATTAATGCATGTTGATTGTGCAATCATATTTTTGTAAAACATCCTCTAATTCTTTATAATCATAATCACCAGTATAGTCATTAAAAAAAAAGCATAGAGAGAAGTAAATCCACACTGCATTAGAATATCTATCTTACCAATGGTATCTTGTAGTTGATACCTAAGATTATATCCTCACCGACATCTTACATAAGACTAATTCTTCAAACTACAATGTAGCTAGGAAGACACAGGACTATCATTAAAAATGCTTCAGGTATCCAAGATAAAAGAAAAATCAAATTTATATCAAACTCTCTCGTATATATTTTCACGAATTCATAATACTTTGAACATGGTATATTTTATCCTTCAATTTATAGTTTGACTAGATATTTACATATGTATAAAATGATTCACTTTTAAAGTTGAAGCATATTTACTTCCGATTAGACTGTCAATTTCTTGAACAAAATATTCCACTGTGTCAATGTGTGTGTGCCTGTATTTATGTATTTTTTCTTTAACATGTATGTCTTGAATTTGAAAGGGAAACTTTTCTTATCTGTACTTACTTTCTTCTTGCAAATACCATTGTGTTAATGTTTCATTTATCGTGGGTTTTTTTTTCTTCAATAATTTTATTTAAAAATCTAGTTGGTGATAATCATCTCTTTCACCTTGCACATTTATTCTGTTGTTCTCTTTTGTTATATAAACTAATGTTTTGTTTTCTGTTGAAGTAAAGAGAGAGAGAGAGAGAGAGACAGTTGATCCTATTTCCTCTTTACACATGAGCATTTATTCATGTTATTGTGTTATAATTTAGAAGAAATAAAATATTTTGCAAAATTAGTTAGTTGCTTATTTCAGTTTTTATTCAGTTCTAAGATTGTTTCTTATGTGCAAGTCGGGTGGGGAAAACGTCAGAAGGAAATATTGAATTCAGCCTGTGTCAGAAAATCAGATGTCAACTGAAGGAGCTTTAAAGGCATCGCTATAAAGTAAATGCTGACCACTTGGCCTAAGGATAGGGAATGAAGTGATGAAATCTACCAACCACTTCACTTACTTGGGTGGTTACATCAACCCGAACAGTCTGGTTGCTTACGAAATCTCAGCTTGGATACAGAAGGCTTATTTGGCATTCGCCAACTGACGAGGTATCCAACTATCTATCAAAGGACAAGTAAACTGTGCTGCAGTCTGTTCTGAATCGTCATCGAATGAGATGGTTTTGACATGTACTGCGCACGCCAAGCAACCGCATACCTCGACGGGTCATGCTAGGGGAAGCTGTAGCACTGTGACTGATTTTCAGCATGCTATTAAGAGTTCCCAAATACTGAATCCTATCATTTCGAAGACCCTAGGTAGGCAGTTTACATCTTTCCACACAACTCAGATCAACAGTCATGGACTGGTGCCACATCATGATCTGGCTACTCTTACAACTTAATCCAGCTGGTGTACGTCACTAATCATCCAAGAGTACAGGAAGGAGAAACGTCTTCGTTTGCCAACCATAAGGAAATTGGTTTGACTAATTTTGTCGCCAAGATTCTAGCTCGAGAACGACAAACTCGAAAGAACGCAGCAGGTGCATCGATCATATTTTACCCTCCGACAGGTTCTAGAACACAGGCATATTTACCGGCCAACGGTCAATACTTGCCATATTTGTTTTCCGGCAGGCGGCATTTGACCATGTACACTGTGAGGCGTTATGGCATTGTCTGACTGTGAAGGGTGTACCGAGAAGGTATATAACGGCAGTCGGCTCTCTACTCAAACTCACGTAGCCGTGTCAGGGCTTATGCAGAGTTTCGTGAATTGAGGACAAGTATTGGTGCCAGCTAGGGATGTTCACTGTCATATGTAACATGATGCTACATTAAAAGTGCACCGCAATGGTGAACCTCCCAACTTGATGGCCATGTTGCAAAAGTGATAGGTGGATTTCGGTTAACATTCAAGACTAGACAATACGAAATCGGTTGCTCTGCAGTGACCATTCAACATATAGTCTAGAATGCTACAGCATTTCTTACTGGATGATGTGTCTAGCATAAATTAGTGTTCATAATCATATCAAAGTAACCATCTGTCATCCGTCGTTTTCAGTGGTAGTTGAATGTTCCACATCTCTGGTATACGTTATATCACTCCTGTTGCATGTATTAGTTGGGCAAGTGAAATGCACTCATCAACCGTTTTGCACGTTCATGCAGTAGGTAATGACCCCCACACCTATTGTGTGAGGCTCATGTTACTACTACCTGGCTGCCTAAACTTTGGCAGGTGGAGTGGGGCTCGAACTCGTAACAGATTGGTTGAAAGTCATCTCCCTAGACCAATGAACTACATTTCCACTATCAGTTGTTCATCCGATGAATCACTCCCTTCTTTCATCTGAGCAAGCTACCCTTTAGTTTTATTGGCTTATTTCCCATTTGTTTGATTGCGTGTCAATGTTGAGTTCTAGATTATTGATCTTATCAGGATGTGACATTTTAAATTTGTTTAGGTCCCTATACTTCGATAATCTAAATGCCCCTCCAATCAACTGATTTGGACTGGATATTTTTAAATTAAACTATTCTGTTTAATTGGGTTCATAGAATTCATAAGCCAACAAAGTGTCTTTGAGTAGATTTGTAGGCTTGAATGCTACCTTAATTCTAACCTTGTTGAGAAACCCACGAATGGCTTTTGATTTCCCTTCTTTAGATGATAACTTCTTCCTTTGTATGTTGCAGTTACAAGGTACCATTCTATCCTTGCTTTTCTGATCACTAGTTGGAATTACTTGTCTAGCTTCTTTTTTTTCCATTTTGTAATGTTATATAGAGATCGAATGGTTTATTAGTATGTATAAGATGGGATGTGTTGGATGGTTTTTAATTGAATTGAAGAATGTCATCTAATTATTATAACGGTATTTGAGTTTTCTCGACGTGGGGAGAAGAGGATCTGCTATAGATTGTTGAGGAGCGACTAGATGCAAAGAATGTCAACAATTGGTATTGATCTGACAAGAAACCAACGAAATGGTCAGTCAAAACAATAAAACTGGTTGTCAGTTTGAAGGTAATTTATATGCTTACAAGATCACTGATGGGTCGAAATGTTTATTATTTATTATTATTTTTCCCTTGGGTTCCTAATGGAACATAAGGCTTCAGTAGCACATCTTCAGTGCATTCTGTTCTCTGAAATCTTTCAACTTGGCTCTACGACAGCCCAGAAGCTCTCATTTCTTCCTCACACGATCTCCTCCATGTCACCCTCAGCTGGGAAGCACAACTCGCCATTTCCCATATGGGTTCCACTCGAGTACCTGACCTGGAGCGTGATGTCTCCAAATGGTCTTCTCAGTGCATGCCCAATCCATCTTTAATTTCTTCTTCTGCATATCTGTTGGGCGATAGGTTCTTGATTGGTTCGTAGCCAGAGTTCCTTGTTGGTTATTCTCTCTGGCCATCTGAGCTTTAGTAACGAGCCAGCGTAGGCAGTTGTTGATGACTGAATTAGTGTTGAAAATCCGGATCTTTTTCTTCATGCTGAATGCAATGTAGTACAGTGCAGTAGATCTCCACACTGGTTTCAGGTTAATGAACGCCTGTCTTGCTCCTTCCATCCTGGCTTTGATGTTTCCATCTATGCCCCTTGTAGTTGAAATGATGGTGCCTAGGTAGGTGAAAGAGACCACTTCCTTTAGATTTCTCCCGTTCATCGTGATTGGTGCTTATGGTTGATGTTGTTGGTTGGGTATCTTCATCACCTCCGTCTTCTGGAAATGTTGGGGGAGAGGCTAGCATTTACGTTCGCAAGGGGAAGTTAATATTCTTTTACAAGTGGCAGATTGAGGTTGACTAGGAAGGTTACATGAAAGATTCTGACAATACAACGAAATTTAAGGGGAAGGTAAAAATTTTGAATATGAGTGATTAGTACACTGGATGAGCTTGAAAAAAATATCAGTTGTACTTCTTCCAGTTCTGATGAGAAGGTTTGTCAAATTGGTTGGCGTTGAATGTATCAATTTTAAATGAAAAGAATGCCTTAATCTCTTTAACGGAAAGCACAGTAATGAAGTTCACTCTGATGCAGTGGAGAGTAAGTCGTGATTGTTGACTCTCCGTCTGTTCACTTCTGACTATTTTTGAGCGCGATAGAAGAAACTGCTGTCATGTGCAACGGGTATCAGGCTTTCATCCTCAAGTGGATAACGTCTTGGTACTGTGTTCGAGTCTCAATGAAAGAAATATAACTCACTGGGGTGCATGTACATCCAGCTAACGGGTCTCAAACATGACAAAACGCGCATCCTGGACTCTACTGCTAACCAGCAGTGTGCACCGATGATCCCGCTAGGGATACAAACCCCAGACTTTCAGGTCCTGTGGCCAGCGCGTTACTATCGTTGCTAGGGTGACCGTTAAAGTCACTCAGAGAGGAGGACAAATGAACACAGAATATTAGAAACGAGTGTAACATGCTACACAACAACGAAAAAATAATAATAATTCACTTTATTCCAAACAATTTGTAGTACAAAAGAGGAAGTAGTTGAAAAAGGAGTGGTAAATCGTATGAAACGTGATGAAATAAATAAATGAAGATTATTGGAATTATTTTAATTTCTGAAGATGATAAACTATGACTAAATCTGCACTATTTTAGTCGAGTTTGTTTGCCAATACTTTGACTAAATTTTACAGATACACACAGTAATCGTCATTATTTCAGAATATTCTATTTATATATTGGTGGGAAAGATTGAAAGTGTTTTGTATAGAGTGAGAACAACTTTAGCAGAAATATTTGTTCGAAAGGGATACTGGAAGAAGAGATAACTATTATTGGAAATTGCATCCATGATAACAAATATCCACTGCAATTGATCAATAAGTACAAGAATATCCCAACTGAAACTGTAAAGTGTGATTAAGTCGAGAAGAAACCTATTTTCCTAAATGGTGTTTCCAAAAGTGATGATGTTTGTAGGAGAATTAGCTACAGGATAGATCCTGCCTTAAAAAGGACTTATCCAGCTGTTAGGTTGACAACACATAACCAAACGAATTGCTCACCGAAATAATCAAACATTTGTAAGTCTCCTCTTCATGACCGGTATTAATTAGGCTATCCGAGCACAAAATCCTAGCTCGGTTAAAATTGATGGATCCTAGTGAGGTAAGGGATTTAAAAAGTAGCTCAGTGATAGCTATGCATGCGACTACACACAACCACACAATAGGTTGGGACAAAGTGAAAGTCCTTAAAATTAACCTTGCAGCGTGGAGGGAGAGATTGATAACGGAATCTTTGTTCCTCAAATCAACATCTAACACATACAACAAGAATGACTCAGCACGTGTTTCCGATATGTGGAAAATCTTACTATCCATGTCACAAAGGAGGAGAGGAAATTAGGACTATATAAAGAATACCTGAGAGTTGTATAGTTATCACGATACTATTGTTATTATTATTATTATTATTTGTACCTTGGGTTCCTAATGGAACATAAGGCTTCAGTAGCACGTCTCCAGTGACCTCTGTTCTCTGAAATCTTTTCAACCTGGCTCCACGACAGCCCAGAAGCTTTCATTTCCTCCCGGCACGATCTCCTCCATGTCACCCTCGGCACCGAAGCCCAACTCGTCGTCCCCCATCTGGGTTCCAGTCGACGGCCTAGTGCGTGATACTACTATGGACAATAAATTGTGTCTGAAACGTATTCCAGTAAACAATACTCTACCCATATGTGATTTATCTAATAAATCAAGTAAAATGGAAACATATCATTTCATTGTTATCTTTATTTCAAGCCTGTAATTCTTTAGCAAACTGATTCAAATGTGCAAACATTTTGTATAAGTTTGATGTTAAAATTGTTTTAGCAGCTGATGAGAAACTGCAAAATGAAATGAATCCATTTTATTCTGTTAAAAACTGCTGTTCTCTCTCTCTGTAAATTTGCCAAGTGATAGAATTGTATGACAATGTCCCATGATTCATTGAAACTCAATAAAACTTTATTAAAACATATATGTTGATGAGCTGATAATAATTGTTTGTATGAATATAAACAAAGTGTTGACATTGTTAGTAAAGCTAGTCCTTATTATTTGTACACTCAGAATAAACTGTTGAAGATTGTAAATTAATCTTTGAAATTCCTTCGCATTGATAATTATCATCACCATTATTATTATTATTATTATTATTATTATTATTATTATCATTATTATTATTATTATTACCATTATTATTATTACTATTGTTACTATTACTATTATTATTATCCGGTGTTGATAAAACAAGTATTCGTGGAATTAAATCTTCACTATAATGATTACTTAGACAATTTAGTTTTCTTGGTTTTGGTTCAGGTGACAGTGTCTTTTTCATTTCCAGCAATGATGTCCCTGTTGGTTGCAGTGATGATGATAATGATGACAACTGTGTATATTTTTGAATGTCATTATCAAGCTGGAATGATGAGTAGTAGTCCACTAATGGCGTTGTCGATTCTTTAGACGGCATTGATATTGGTGGAGATGATGAGAAATTGAGAAGGTTCCTATCACCCTCTCTGTCATTACTGATTAAGTTATCTGTACCAGACTGCTTTACTTCAGGTGGTGTTTTGTCAGTTATAACATTTGAACTTGATGGAATTGAACTTCTGGAGGATGCAACTGGTTTCTGGAAATTCGATAAGAAAAAATGAAACGCAATGAATTCTTTTTAAGTGGCAACAGGTACCAAGTATCCTTTGCTCTTTCATCCTACCTGTATTCCATGTTTTCACTGCATTTTCAAGGTTTTATTGAAAATCAACTACTTTGCTTGGTTGTGCGTTTCGTCTTATTTGGGATTTACCTGCACCCAAGTGAGTGATGTTGTTCCCACTGAGACTCAAACCTCTTACCCATCGCTTCTAATGCCAAGGCATTGTTCACTATGCCATGGAGGCACGATACCCGCTTCTTGTACAATGGGTATTAGTTATAACTATTTCCTGATATACTTGTAATTCTCCGTTGCTTTATTGCATTAAATTGTCCGACATCTATTGGCATACGGGCTCTTATGCGGATGCCTTGACCTTCCTATGATAGCCATAACCAAGCAAATTACTACAATTAACATTCATGCAATATCAAGACATTGGCATAGGAGCCCATATGCCAATAGAGGTCGAACAATTCGATCCAATAAAACAATAGTGCATCAGTGTGCAAGATAGAAGTGGATAGAGTAAATGATATTAACGTGGACAAAAGTTAGAGATGAGAGTCTATATATGGATCAAGCTTGATGACAATGTGCGTGATCTCGAAGAGTTACAAAGAATTTTGTGCATCAGCATCATTTTGATCAATTTTGAGCTAAATCGCCAAGAACCTCTGATTATTGAATCGTATCAGCTTGAGATTCTCCAGCCAATTATCCTTTTGAGCTAAGACTAACTGCCAGAGACTTCAAGAACAGGTATCATATTTTGGTCTAGATACTTCTAACAACTCCTTACAACCTAAAGAAGTACATCGAGGTAAGCAGTAGTTCAATCAATCAATCAATCAATATCAACATAGGACCAGGCATTACTGTGTAACGGTGCGAGTTGCTACACTTCATATCAGTACATCAAATGGAAACGTAGTGAGGTGAAAAATGAAGATAAGTGAATGCAGTCAAAAGAAATATGAAGTACGAGAAGAAAGGAAAGAGGAGTAACAAAGTGGTGAGATTCGGTATAGCGTCGTTAAGATGAGGATAATGTGTGTATACATCTGCGCCACTGACATCGGTTCTGAGCCATATCGCTTACAGTCTCCAACCACCGGTACCTCTTGTCGCACGGGTACCAACCACCTAGTCTGCATCGCCCTACATGGTGTAAACCAACAGTCAGAGACTTCATACACTGGTACCATGTTTTAGTCTGACCTCCTCGGGCCTTTTTCCAGCATGGACCTACTTCGGCCCACATTGTGTGACGAGGCGATCGGCGATTAGGCATACGTAGTACGTGCCCCAACCATCTCAATCGATGAAGATTCACAACCTAGTCAACTGATTTACCTCTGCTCCCTAAAACTCTACTCCTGACTTCTGCATTACTCACGTGGTGACACCATGGAATACGGCGGCCTATACTACGAAGGCAATGGTGGTCAAACACTTGAAGCCTTCTCACATCTCCCACTTTCAATGGCCATGTTTCACAGCCATACAGTAGAACAGAGCGGACTGCTATGCAGTACATGCGACCCTTAGTAGACAAACGGGTACCACGGCGGTGCCATAGGTGGCGTAAATCGGCAAAATCCAATCGAGCCTTTTGTATCCGTCCAGAGATTTCATCGGCAACTGACCCACCAGGGTTGATCCTACTTCCCAGGTAAGTGAAGTGGTCAACACACTCAACCACTTCACTCTCTACTGTTAGCCGCGGCACCGCTGAAGACCAGTCCTGGAGCAAACATTGGTATTTGGGTGGTGAAAATCGCATCCCAAACATCCTCAAATTCCCACTCGAAGTGTTCAGAAGGCTCTCTATCTTGTCAGCGTCTTCACTTAACAGGATTATGTCATCTGCAGTAGTTCAGTATACACAACACACGGTCACGTCATTGAAGACTTATAACACCATCTACTGACTTGCTTCCCTTGCCCAGTACTCTACGGCAAACCTCACCAGGGTTCCCACTGCAATTCCATCATATGTGAGTGAGCAATGCTACGAAAACCTATAATCTCTTCATACCTCCGATTTTCAACAACCATGCACTAGTCGTATGACAGAACAGAATGAACTGCAGCGCAGTATACTAGTTTTCTAACAGGCACGAGGATATCTAACTCCCCACCGAAGAGATGACGCAAGTTGAGAAGTACTAAACTAGCCTTTTAATCCAAGCTGAGATTTTGTTAACCACCAATCCATTTCGTCTGATGTCACTTCCCATGTGAGCGAAGCGGTCAGTGTACCCACACCAAGACGTGGCGCCAGTTCATGAAGTTTCTCACTGTTTGCTCGAGTCATATGTGGAGGTGTAGATTGTCTAGCTGCCATCCTCCAGACCATAAGAATGAGTGGTTGAGGACTCTTGCTGGAAATTAGTCACAACAACACAGATGTATTCACTCCTTGACGTCTTATACAGCTGGCATACTTCCACTAACCGTTGTCTTCAGATTGCTTATTCCCTCACACAACTTTGTCTACCTTGATATCAGTCTTTCCTATCTACCTGTCCTTTGTATATTGCTATTGAGTGTGGCGAGTTGAGCTGATGCGCTTGTGTACTGGATTCTCTGTTGATTTTGTCTATCTGTCTGTCTATACACAAACAAAGAATAGTCTCCTTTACCATCCAACATGTCGAATTTGGGCATTACATTCCAGTTGTAAACAAACAGCTACTGAATGCACAGATTCATGGCGAAGTTACATTGCCACACTCAGTAGCAATATACAAAGGACAGGTAGATAGGAAAGACTGATATCAAGGTAGACAAAGTTGTGTGAGGGAATAAGCAATCTGAAGACAACGGTTAGTGGAAGTATAACTCAAGCAAACAGTGAGAAACTTCATGAACTGGTGCCATATCTTGGTCATGCTACCCTGAACCCTCTTCTAACTTTCCCTAGCATACCAAGACGAGGTAGGCGGTTGCTCGGCATATGTAACACACGTCCTGAACATCTCAGCAGATGAAAGTTCACAACCTCATCAATGGACTTGCCTATATTGCCTAGTACCTTTCGTCTGACTGACATCAACATTGCTCAAACAGTGATTCGCGGGCGATGCTATGAAGATACCTGTGGTCGAAACCCTGTAACCGCTTCAGATCTTCTACTTTTAACAGCCATGTCTTACGGTCGTATAACGGGACAGAACAGGTTGCAGAGCAGTATACTCGTCTTTTGATAAATAATCGGATATCTCGCAAGTTGACGTTAAAGATGGCACAAGTTGTCAAATAACAAACAAACCTTCTGTATTCTGGGTGAGATTTCGTGTATGTATACTTATCACAGACTATGAATCAAGTAATTTATAATGCTGTAATAACGACCAACAGCTTACTGATTATAACACGTTTGGAGGCAGTTATCTGAAGGTTTCGTCAGCTAATACAATGGGAAATAGTTCTTCGAGGTTCTAAAGTGTAAAATTTCCATAGTACACTCACCCTAGCTGATACTTATGACAAGCCAATATAACAGATGATATACAGGAAAGTACTCACATCTCCAGAACAAGCGATATCCATTCTTTGATTTTCACTGTTTTCTTGTTTCTGTCCCTTGTTTTCATCGCTCCATACGCTTGATTTGTTTGCTTCGCTAGCTTTCGAATTATTCATGTGCAAGTTAATCACTTCAGGTTCACTTCCAGAGATCTTGCCAATCTTTCCACTTCTTTCTTGAATTATATTATGATGAATATACTTTTTAAATGAGTCATACTGATGTCTCTCTTCCTTTACACCAATTCGATAAGATCTAGATGGATGAGGTGATGTTGGTTTCCAAGGGGTTAGTGCAAAACTATAACGTCTGGTCAACAGCAAACTACTTTGGTTAGTTGATTCCAGTGTAGTTTCACTTTGTTTTTTATCATGAGGCTGTGAAATACGATAATTATCACCAATATTGGATGTTACTTCTGTAGATTTATGAGTATTATATGTATTTGAAATAAATGTTCTGGAATATCTTTTTGACCCAGCACTGCTACTACGCCTTTTCGGTCATTAAAAATAATGAAAAAGAGATCATATACGAAGGTAAACTTATGAAAAGTAATTCAACAATTTTTTTATTGTCAATATTGATGGGACCTATAATTTGGAAAAGTTTCACGATTTGGAACATTATTTCTCGGTACATCTACACAGATGATAAATAATTCCTTTCTTGACACTGAAACGTTCACCAATCTAAATTCTCATACAAACTATAACTTAAAACCATTAGATTTCGGTCAAATATGTAAGATCTCATAATCGCATTCTCGGTCACCTTGTACTGACTGTTACTTTGTTTTATTCAAACATGTTGGATATACACTCCATATAAATATGTTCGGTTTCTAACTAGTATACATTGATGAATTGGTCACCAAGTGGTGACTACAGTAATTATCAAGACGTAACATGATTAAAGTTTATGTACATGGAGGTGCTCATCATAAGCATCAAGATAAAGAAATCAAGAAGAATAGATCAAAAGTACTAAAATAGAGGAGGGAAGCATGAGAAAATGTTGAATTCAGTCAGACTATTAACATGAGAACAATGCATGGTTACATCTGCGTCAATTACATTGATTTTCAGTCATGTCGACTGTAGTCTTCAACCCCTTATTACTGCTGTTGCATGGACCCCAACCACGAAGTCTATATTCGCTTACACACCCCAGACCAACATTCAAGAACTTCATGCAATGATACCATGTTTACCATCCTAAACCTGCTTCAGCTGACATAATGCGATGAGGCCGACTATGAATAGGCATGCGTAACACTTCGCCAGCCACCCCACTTTCTTAACATCCCTAAAACTCTACACGTGACTTCTACGCTATTCACATGGTGAGTCTTCTCATGTCCTCTACCTTTAATGACCATGTTTCACAACCATATAGTAGAACAGAGGGAACTGTAACATAATACACTTGGCCTTTGATAGATGCTGTAAATAGCATAAGTTGGTAAAAGCCACTCGAGCGTTTTTCATCTGTGCAGAGATTTTGTCGGTTACTGACCTGCCACGGCTGACCCGACTTCCCAGTTAAGTTACTTGATAAAAGCACCCAGAGATTTCACTACCTCATTGCTAGACAGGGCACTGATGAACGCCAGTCCTGGATCAACAATTGGTATTTGGAAGGCGAGAAACGCATCCCAAACATTCTAAAATTGCTATTCAATGTGTCTGGAAGATTCTTCATCTTATCAACGACTTCATCCAACAGGACCATATGCTCTATCTTTGGTGTTAAATTCTGTAGACCAATCAACGAGAAAGACTGTTTAAAGAAGGCTTTGGCAATCATCAACAAGAGAGAAGACTAGACTGGATCGCCAACGAAAAGTACATACATATTCATTTCGAAACTGGACCTTCTTCGGAGTTATTCATTTCTGAACAGATGACTGATATTTGTGTCTGTTTCGTTAACAAATCATCTAATTGTGATTTCTACTCATGTTTGACTCATCTCTCAATAATGACATTGTACTGTGTACATTTCAACTTCCTTTTCCAACATTATTGATTATTTTACGTGTGCCTCGAAATGAGAACAAGTTTTACTCTTACTCAGCTTTAGTAAAGAACTGAAAAAACAGTGTATTCATTCTTCATTTCAACCTTATCAACTAATATTAAGAGTTTTATCGAATCTAAAATAATATGAGTTTTATTGAATATAATTTCTACAACGATCAAATGTCTACCAAACTATCCGCCAGAAAACCAACTTTTTTAATCATCCATAGAGTCTAGGGAGTGCTTGATAGGCACTAAAGTAAACTCAGTAGCTAACCTTGTTATCCTCATGTACGTATATTATTTCATCAACCTATAATGTTCCCATTGTTAATTGCTTTGATATATGGGTTCCTGTAGTGATATTCCAGTGTAACCAATGATTTCATTTTGGCATGAAGGATGTATACTGGTTAACAGTGGAATCCAGTAGACATGTTTTATCCTCCTTAAGGCTTGTCAGCTGGATGTAACTGTCACCCAGTGGAGTCTACTGCTAGCCACTATTCCTCTCGAATACCCATATTTGTTTGCATTTATCAGTATTTTTTTCAGTTAACAAGGAAACCTACTAGAATAATAGGTAGGCCAAGCATTCTACCCAAATAGCGTTACATGCCAGACCATTTAGATGCAGACAGAAACGCCTACAACAAGCATATATGGGTTTTGAAATACCTATATTATTGTAGAATACGTTCTGCAACCTACAATAACCGATAACCGTGCACTCTCTTTGTAACCTTACTTTTATGTGATTGGTGAAATGTATAACTAATTGAAGTCACATTCGTTAGCAAAAGACTTCAGAGGAAAATTTTTCTTTCTGTTGTATCACTTTCAAAAGCTGGACCCCGATAATTCAATAACCAACTAATTCGGCGGTGATACAATAGATGATATTCTGAAACGTCGGTTAGTGAAAGCTATTAACAGAACATCCCATGCCACAAACCTAAGACTCATGCATACTAGACATTCAGTAGTCAACACATGCTGCTTGCTTTAATGTGTATATAGAATTCAAGGAATATGCACAGAGAATACTTTGGAAGAAGAAAGAAGATTATTGACTGAAATACTGTAGTAAAATAACTCTCCATCAAAATTTATTAGGTAGCACAAAATAATCGGAACGCCAAAACCAGATCTTCAGTTTGTCCCAAAGAAAGATTTCTTTATTAACCTTCCGTTCAAAGGTGGCTTTCATACTGCGATCCTTAAACAGGGACTTAGTGCTGCTCTTAGAAGGACTTACTATGCAGCTTGGATTAGACTATTAGAGACTATCAAGCCTGTATATACTCCCAAACCCATGCAGCATGTGAACGACAATGTCACTTCCCATTCCATCTACCAATTCAAATATAAATGTGGTTATACACACATAGGGACAACTCATAGATCCATGCTAGTAAGCGCCTCTGAGCATATTCTAAAGTGGCTTCACAGGCAAATCAAATCACCTGAGCTCATAAACGTTGGTAGCAGATGTCTAAGTACTTCGATCGCGAAACATATGGTTGAGAGAGGTCACAGGGTCGAGATGGTTACTTTTTTTAAACCCATTTAAATTTGTTGAAGCCTTAGCTATTAGGAAGTTTAAACCACCTTTGTGTGTTCATAAACAATTTGTTATCACATTAAATCTCCCCCTTGGTGAATTCAACCCTGAAACCAAGTTCAATGTATCATTATTTTCACTCTATTGATTCTCATTGTTATTAAGCCTTCAATTCAATCTTCCTACCTGACATCTTTTTCATTTTCTCAACCTTATCTTCATAAATTTTTATATAATTACGTTTGACAAGTATGTGTGCATGATTAGATAGTTCAAAATGTGTTGCTCAAATATAATACACAAAGTTGTAAATTATCATTCTGATAGCATATTCTCATTATTTACCATTTACGCATTTCCTTATAATCGAATTTTTTCTAAGTGATTGGTAAAAATTAGTATTTTTCTATGCATTTCCGTACTCAACTTTTCTTCATCTACAACTAGTTAGTCTACGTTTTATGGTTTTCATCAATTATCTGAAAGGTTAATGATTAGCCTTTCCTTTTATTATCATTGGCAATTAGGATTTAATTTACTGGTAGTAAACCTGATAAGCATATCCAGATTGTGAGATCTCACCAGTTTTCAGTGATTTCATGAATTATCTCAGTAAGAAAAGATAATGTTAGAAGAGTGATCAGATAACTCTTAAGAATAGTTGAAATTACCATGAGATAATGAACTGTAAAGGAGAAAAAGGTTTTGCTAAATTTCAAATTTTGTTACTTTGGTATGTCACTGATTAGACCGAATTGATCAGTCTCTGTTGGTATATGGGCTCGTTAGCGGATGCCTCGATACTGTCTGACGTTTTAATTTTATAGTAATGATTTATAGTGGTTATCAGTGGAATCCAGGATACGCTTTTCGTGGATAAAACTGCGGCGTTTGAAACCATCGGTTCTGGGTTCGAGTCCTAGATAAAACTCACTGGGAAACAAGTACATTCAGCTGACGAGGTCAAACAGTAATAGGGATCCACAAACTGTACCACCAAAGACTATACTTTACCTATTTCACAAGAAGCGGCTATCTTAACTCGGTGATCTAGTATATAAACTCACTGGCGTTTGAAGCCAGTGGTCCACGATTCGAGTCTAAGTGAGAAGGAGGCAGATACATCTGGCTGATGAGTCCAGAATAGGAAGAAAGGAGCGTTCTGGATTTCACTGTTAGCCACTATCCATCAATAATATGAACTTTGAAAAACCAAAATCGAGGCGTCCGCACAAGAGCTCATACACCAATAGTTCACTTAAACAACGGAGAAGCAAAAGCTGTAACACCAAAGAACGTTGTACATTCCATATTAAATTGATATGAATATGAGCAATAATTTATGTTTGAAGGTTCATCCAGTAAATGATACTGTGTCGCTGTGTGCCATATCAAATAAACAATCTAATATGGAATTAGGCTCTACCACAGTGCCTAAATATTTCTCTTACATTAACCTCGTACATTTGTTATTTTCAAGTATTCGAGGGATTTGTTCTGAATAGACCAATCGACGACTATAAAGGCCACCCTAACAACGATTGAAATAACCAATCAGGTTTCTTCATTTCGTCTGGAAAGGAAGATTTTCATAAAATAGAGGACTCTGATTAGTTATTTCAGCTGTTGTTAGGATGGGCTTTAAGTCACTCGATCAATCAGGCTTCCGTATTTCCCTTGGGAAAGTACTTTCCCATAAAATAATGGAATATAACTGTTTGTTTCATCGGTTGCTAGAGTAGCCCTTATTTAAAGTCACCCTAATTCGACTATGAAAGTACAATGGAGTTGTAAGTCATCAGAGAGGGAGGAAGAGTAAATTACTATTTTGGAAAGATGACTATTTGAAAACTGAACAATGTATCATAATAATTGATACTGAGTGATGATTGAAGGTGAAATGAAAG